ATAAAGTCAGATATTATTTCTTAAGCTCATTTCACATTTAAATTACAGATACCAGCAAACACACAGTATCTGCCTTATTTCATGTTAAGGGTTTTATATTCTGGGGCACAATTTAAATGTGGAACAGGAAACACACATGTATTTATAGTCAAATAACTAGAGGCTAGGATGGTATTCAAGGTGCTGCAGACCCAGTTAATTTCAGTAACCACCTGAAATGTATATTACAACAGCTGCTTTTTACCCAGGAATGGAACGCTTGCCAGTGGCCTAAAGTTGTTAAGATTTTCCAGGCCCAGGGAAAGTGGCTTCAGCAGTGCTGTCACTGCTGCTCTTTTTGGTGACCTCTGCAAGGAGGTGTGAATCTCTTCCCCAGCCTAGCTGGCTATTCCCTCTCTGTCCATTTTGATAAGCCACGAAGGACAAAGATCCCGTATGGAAGTGAACCTGTCCAAGCACCTTGTCGACATCTTTTGAGTTGTCCCATCCGAGCTGTAAACCATCCAAGAAAACTACACATGGCTGTGCTCAGGGCACCTCACTTGATTCACCTGCTGCAATCCCGGAACTTAACCATGGCAGATGAAAGACATTTTGTCCAGGAAATACCTAGCAAATATATTACAGCAAGGACTGTTTGCTTTAACATTTAATCCCATCCTGCAGAAGTGCTCTCTTTCTCCCTATATATCTATATCTAGGCTGTTCTTTGCCATGCAGCTATTTACTTCATTCTCCTTATCTGAACCACCAACCTACTTTTGTGTGAGACAGTTGAGTTGTGCCTAATTACACAGTCCAGATAATGCCAGAATGTCTGAGGTAACCAGGCTAGGAAAGCCTTGATTCAAGCCTTTATTCAGCCATGACACTCATTGAATGGGGTTGAGCTCATTGTTCTCAGTGGCCTGCTGTCTGGACTGTTGTGCAAATAAAGCATGATGAACTGTTTACATGATGTGATTGGTCAAAGAGCACAGGCTGTTCTACCACGCAGTTCTACTGAACATATTCTGCGATTTGCACCACTCCTCCCAAGCGAGGCAAGCCCCTGCAGCAGGGAACCTGCTATATTCACAGATTTCACAGAACAGCTGGGTCAGAAGGGGGCGGGAGGCCAATGAGTCCAACCACCTGCTAGTGCAGGATGTCAGTTGCACCATTCCCATCAGACAACTGTCCAATTGCTTCTTAACTACATTTAGTGTGGAAGAGTATACAACCTCTCTTGGCAGCCAGTTCCACTGTCATACCACTCTCACAGTCAGGAAATACCTGTGTCTAGCCTGCACCTGGTGTACTGCTGCTTAAGTTCATTGTCCTGTGTCCTACAATCTGGAATGGATGAGGTCTTTTCCCTCTTTGTGGCAGTCTTTGTGGTACCTGTAGAGTCTATCATGTCACCTCATAGTTGTCTTTTCTCAAGGCAGAACAGGCCCAGTTCCTTCAGCCTCCCATCATAAGAGTTATTTTCCAGGCCATGTATTGTATTTGTTGCCCATCTCTGAAACCTCTCCAGATTATCAGCATCCTTTTTAAATCTGGGTACCTAAAACTAAATGCTATATTCCAGGTGAGGTCTGACTAATGCAGAGTAGAGGGGAATGAGCACTTCTCTATTTCTGGAAGTGAATCTCTATTTATACATCCCATAATAGTGTTTCTTTTTTGCAGCTGCATCACACTCCTGGCTCATATTTAGCTTGTTTACAACTACTCCAAACTTTTTTTTTTCACTGCAGTTTAGCCAAGTGTTCCCTGTCTTGTATCAATGCAGATTATTTTTTTATATTTTGCCTAGGTGGAGAACTTGGCATTTTTTCCTGTTCAATTTAATTCTGTTTTCTGTCCAGTGTTCAAGCTTGTCTAAGTCTCTCTTGGTCTTATTTTTGTCTTCCAGGGTGTTAGCTATTCCACCTAGTTTAGTATCACCTGCAAATTTAATTATCTTTTCCTGGATTTCCTTATCAAGATTGTGAGTAAGTTGCTGAAGAGTACTGGTCCCTGGACTGAGCCCTGCGATACCCCACTAGTCATTTCTCTCCTGGTAGAGAAACTACCGTTGATGGCCACTCTCTGTGACCAATTTTGAAGGATCAAGCTTGGAAGATTGGTTTCTGGGGGCTGAAACAAACAACAACTTCCTGAGTCAGCTAGACCTTTTCTTCATTTTAACTTTAAAGTATGGGCAGACTCCCCCTCCCCCATCAGGATCTTAGTATGCAGCCTCCCACCTGCATACTAAGAACTCTTTCTGGACTGGAGCCACAGCACCTCTTCTACAGTAAAACTTACAAAGACACCCCCAACCCATTGCTGCCAGACACAAGAATCTGATTCTGAATTGCTGAGGAAGCAGAGTCCACCAGGCTCCGCAAAGATAGTTGCCCTCTCAACTTGTTGAGGGTTACAGAATGGTGCTACCATACTTATATCCATGCTTGCTCAGGTGACTAACTTGGATTAGGATGCCCAAGGAAGGCTAATAGCAAACGTATGCCAGCTGTAACACATATGCACGTCCTTTAAAACTGAGTTGTGGACTGGGGGGGGGGGCATCTAATGGACGTTAATAATAAAACCTTATGGCAGAATGAATCTGGTAAACCCTTATATCAAGGCTGTCTTGATTTTGCTGCAAGAAATCAACACTTGCTACTGCTCCCAATATTTTTAGAACGACTGTTTTTCTTCCTCTTAATAGCCATGAAGAGTTAGAGCACAATTCTAAACTTTTCGTCGGGAAAAAATTCCCAATTCCCTGCAATTCCTAATATCCCCTAGCAGCTGCGAGTCATAGGTCTTTTTCTGCCTAAGCACGCACAGGATCGTGCCTGAAATCAATATATTCACCGAGTTTTCTTTAATCGAGAGCCTGCCCTAATTTTAGCATATTACCGTGTAGAAAATGTCCTATCATATCCTACACATGCAAGTCAGATGGCAGAATATCTTCTTTTTTTCAACCACTTGATCTACCGCGATAGAACCACCATAGCCTTGCCTGAGTTTAGCAGCAACGCGCTACATTTGCACGGGTAGCGGCGAGAGGCGCGAAAACCCGCTGCCCCTCCCGCCTCCCGTCGATGCGGCTGGCCAATCAACGCCTGCCTTCCCCTGAAGCCGCGATGCTGTCCATTTCTGACTCTCTCTGTCTTTCACACTGTAGACTTTGAAAGGAGGTGGACTGCCAATTTCAGTCTGAGACACTTCCGGGTTAGTTTCGGAAGTACTTTCCCTCCTCGTCGGCAAAAAGTGAGGGACAGTTCTTCAGGACAAATAAAGATAAAATCCAGGATATTTTTGTAGATTTGATTGGGAATTAGCCTGTTCCTCCTCATCTAGTCCTTCAAACGTGGATGCAGAACTAGGAGCTCCTCGTTTTTAAAAGTCTTGTGTATTTGGTAGATGCAAATATAGCCCATAGCAATCTTGCCCATATTGCAGATGGGGAAGAACTGATGTTTTGAGGTTGACTTACAGTAAGCTCTGCAATGCGTTCAGCATTGTTATTCCAGTAATAAAGGCTGTATCTATGAATCTCCTATGACAACCCTGCGGTGTTAGTCCTATATTGTTGCCTTCCTCTTGCAGGGCAGAGAGGGAGAAACGCTAAGGAGAAGAGTGTACTTATGAAAACCCTGAAGTGTAGTCCCTTTTAAATCTACTGTTATAAATACACCTTAAAATAAGTAATACATTGTACTAGTGAACCCTACCAAAAATATCTGTCCAGACACACGCACCTTGCAGAAAAGAGAAACCTACTTTTACCATCATGTCTACTTTCTCCTCCACCGCTCCGCCTCAGAGCTGACTACAGAGGCGCTTGTATCATTTATGTGCATGCGGACTCCCTGAGGTCTTATTCTCCCGCACCCGGCAGTGCAAATTCGTGTTCCCATTCCCAAAACAAAGCGGAAACTAGAACATATGAGTTACTCTATAATCCTATCTCTATGAGTTGCGAGTTGTTTGCCTCCCTGCATCTGTGTCCTACCCGATTGGTTCCATGTCAAGCAGTGTCCACCCCGGAAGCCTGTGCTGTCGCAGCCTGATTAGTGGTGATGGGTGAGCCCTTTTATGCTGCGCCTCGTGGCTGAGGGGTGGGATGCTGGCCAGCCTCAGCAACGGCATCCTTCGGCCTCAAGGGTGGAATTAAGCCGGTTGGGGACACATTAGAAGAATTACGAGAAGCCTCTGTGGGGTATGCCCAGCGGGTGGAATATGACAGCTTGGTGCATCGCTCCCAAGAAAGCTCTCTTCTTTCTCCCTTGCCGCTGGGGTGGTGTATAGAGCAGGGGGGAGCCTACCCCAATCCAGCTCCATTCATTTTAGTGGGTTTACTGTAAGTAGGGCGAACACTGGGGACAACTCTAGCCCAGCAGCTGGAAAAGATTACACGTGACCCTCATTAAATTCTTTTCTGTGTCCCAGTATTCCTCCCCCTGTTCTTACAACAACCCTGTGAGGTAGGTTAGGCTGAGAAAATGAGTGGCCCAAGGTTTCTCAGCTTTACGGCTGGCTGGAGACTCAAACCAGTGCCCTCCCCAACATTTCAATACACTATACTTGTTTCCTAGACCACCGTGCAAGCTTCCAAGATAATTTGAGACATGAAGGAATGAGGCAGATAAACATGTCCCTGAATGTGATTATCTTTGCTTGTCAGATCGTTTTATGTGTTGCAGAATTCATGCATGTACCCATTGAAGAGCAGGTTGAGATACTGCTGTCTCTGTCTAAACCCTGCAAATATCAGGGTTAAAATATCAGCTAAATATCAGTTAAAGAATACTCTTGCAGGTATTTTGTTCATGTCAGCATGTGTGGATGAAAGCAGAAGCGAAGTGTTTAAAAGTTTATCCCCCCCCCCCGCAAAAAAAGCATTTTGTTCTTCAGAACAAGACTGCGCTTTTTCAAAAGTGATGTCCTCTGTGAGACCAATCTATCCATTGTATACAGTATGATGATAGACTGCTCAGAGAGGTCAGTCTTCAACCAACACATAAGAGAGAAACTTTTATATAAAGCTTTATATAAAGACTTTATGTGGAGAAGCTTTCAAATATATGAACCCTTCCCAGAGGAAAAAAAATCGCTTTCCCCTTCAGTCCAAAGTAGAACATCCTAGAATTCTGCCATTTGAAAGCTATTCTTCATAATGGGTAGATTAACTTTCTGTAGAGAAAACAGTGGGCAATATTTGTGTAAATAAGGAGTGAGCAACTTATGGTCTTCCAGTGCCCATTTGGCTCAGCCAACATAGCTGGTGCTAAGAGTGATGCCAGTGCAGCAATCAGAGGTTCTCCACCCTGGTCATCTACATCTGTTCTTCATTGTGGGAACATGTGGGACGGCGTGACCACTTGTAGCTTTCCATCACAATGGAAAATTGGAATGTGCCACTGCAGAACTGCATGCTTAGCGCTACATGGACATTTCTTTCATAGTTATACAACCATTGAAGCAACTCTCACACAAACACCAGCCAGGGGAATAATCATTGGACCTAATGGAGGTGAACTTGAACAGCAGTAGGGGTGAATGGACTGTTCAAGCTATGGAAAATAAGGGCAAGCAATGACCGACTAATTGACATGATTATCCCATTAAAGCTTTAACTCTGGATTTAAAAGGTGATTAAATAGTTAATAGGGCATGCCATAATAGTTAGGTTTGTAGGACAGATTTGGATTCTTTGAGGAATGGAATAGAATATGGAATTGAGCCAAATAAAATTCTTTTTATTTCAGCCACATGAGACCTACCTGAAAGAATGCTTATATCTGGTATTACAAACAGGGAATCTTCATCTCTTAACAAGCTGATGCTTAAAATAAGACTTAAAAATATAGATTGGGATACTGGAATACAAGAGGATTTTTCTCCCAGAAATTATTGGAAAAGTAGGGGTGGGAGAGTTGTTGTTTTTCCTCCATGCCATCACATCTCTATGGGGAACAGAAGAGCTTTGTATGCAGATGTCTTCCTCGATTTAGAATCTGAATTTAGAATTTAAAGTATATTTCTAACTTTCAAGTTTACATTTTCTCATTTTGCAGGTTTAGCCCAATGGTGAATCCGTGTGAAGAAAGGGTAGCCACCCTTAACCTTGCCTCTTTTTATGCTACACAGGAAATGCCATTCTTCATAAAGAAAACTCGCTCCATCTTCTGGAAATGTGTTTTGGTTAAGGTTCTTTGGCTGTTATAGAAAGAAGCTTATATGGGACTCTGGCTGAAGCAGTGGCTGAACCTTTGCTCTGTCCTAAAAGCCTGGCTTGGTGCACCCCACTTTGAATGGTGACTTGCAGATGTTCCACAAACATGTTTGCACTTGTGACAAGGGCAATCTATCCTTGTGCTCAGCTTAAGAAGTCAAATCATGCCAGCATCTTGTCGCATCTGTGCTTGCGAAAACCTCCAGAGCATTGTGCCACATTCTCCAGGCAATACCGCTCTGAAACTGGCAAGGTGATAGTGGTTTATGTATATACATACATGCATATATAGAGAGAACTGTAGGCTGAGCTTATTTCATCATTATGTGATTTTCATTTTTGGTAGTAATATAGCTGCAAAATAAATACATTTAAGGTTCAATCCTATGTGCATTTCAGCAGTCCTAATGCTGGGAGTAGTAGGTCTTTTTCTGCTTGAAAGTTTATAGAATTGTGCTGTTCCTAAGAGTAATGTTTCTATAGCATGTTACAGGTATCAATTTGTTGGTTTGCATTCTGAAGTGGATTACATCAGGAAGCTAAGCATGATTTTGTAGGATCGCATGTGGAGATCCTGACAGATCCTGCCTACTAAGGTCTATGTATCAGTGGAAATGAGACCTTGAATGTCAGGGTGAGGATGTGAGTGGCAGAAATCAAGATAGAGGGACTGGGACAAGGGCAAGAGAACTTGAGGTGAGACAGTGTCCAAACATAGGATTCAATGGTAAGTCCAATAGCAAAGTCCAAGTTTCAGTAATCAAGCTAGCTGGAGTCAGGAACCAGATGTACATACCAGAGCAAGATAAACAGCATGGTGAGAGGCAGGATGCAAACAGCAAGACAGAATGCAGGTCAAGTGCAAGCACTAAAGCTAACTGGAGGACCTGTGCTGCTGAAGCAACATGGCAAGGCAGGATGGAGGCACAACAGCTATAGACAGACATGGTTGCTGAGGTCCATTCTAGGGGGAAGAGCTTGCTCTTATATAGCTCTTTTCCTGGACTCCCAGTTGGTACACTGAGAGCTCCAGCAGGACCTGGGACCAATTCTGTGAATATGGTGGTGGTTGCTCTGTGTCTGGCCACCAGAGCTGGCCAGATCCTGACACTGAGGGCTTTGTGGATGAAGAACAGCCTGTATATATTTTATTAGATAAAATAATTTTTAAAAATAAGATGTTTATTAAGCATCCATGTACATAGGTCTTTACTAAGAGGACAGATGCCTGGAATTGAATCTGGGACTCTGTGCTTCTAAAGCATGCATTTCATGACCGAGTGTGACTTTTCAGTTGTATTATTGGATTGTCATGGGCTACAACCAACATGTTGTGAGTGGACTTCCACTTGTACAACAGGTTGCCCATCTCCTCCTCCTCCTGTTTGTGCACGTTTAGTCACCAATATTGTGTTTGGTGATACTCTATTGTGTTTGGTGATACTCTATTGTGTTTGGTGATACTCTAAAGCTAAAGTGTATAAAGATTGCAGTCTAAGCACCAGTTTTTACAATATTCCAGTTGTCTTATTTGCACGAACAGCTGCTCACCCACCGTGGGCAGTGTAATGGTAGAATCATGGACTCACATGAGACTGCAGCTCTTCTTTTCTGTTTTGTATCTTGGAGTAGAAAATGTAAATCTGCATTTTATGGTTTAATGTGAGGATAAATGTATTGGCAAAGATACAGATTCTGGTATGTGATTTGCCCACTGCCTTAGGCTGTTAACGGTTTGTGACACTTTCCTTTTATGCATTTTAGGATGCGGTGGATATGTCAAAGTTTCCAGTTGAAACTATTAGAAATTTCAGCATAATAGCTCATGTCGACCATGGCAAAAGTACTCTAGCAGATAGGCTGTTGGAAATAACAGGTGAGGTAATTTTGCGGCAAGCATTATTTCTTTGCTCATTGAGTTATGCTTCATTTATATCTGCCTTTCTCGATATGCATGCACAGCAATGTAATTCTAATACCAGATCCCCTTCATATATTGACCATTGTGCAGCAATATAGATTTAATAGGAAGCTTCCAAAAATTTAAAGGTCCTGTACTTAAAGTGTTACATTTTGCATTTTCTATACTTAAAAATGTAACATCTTCTCTACAGTAGTGGCTCACAAAATTTAGTTTATTGCAATGACTTGGGTTTTAGAGCCACTGAACCAGAAGACTCCAGAGTTTCTGGCCTATTTAAATGAGTTGAAGTTTTATTATAGCTTATATATATCTGCTGTGAAACTACAGCCGGTTTCCATTTTTTAAAAAAATGTTTTAACCTTATTGCTGTGAGAAGCTTGGAAAATCTCCATGCTCTGTTTACCCATTCTCCTTTTGCCTTCTTCCATGCCAAACATTTTTAAAGTTTTGAAAATGCAACTAATGGAAGCATAATACATGATGCAGATCTTAGCAGGCTTATTATGACTAAGGTAATCTGTCTTGTTTACAACTCCGGGCTTGTCTACAAAATGTGCAGAGCTGTTAGCACATTTTTCAGTACCAAGTTGTCTTTTTTTCACCAGTTTTTCAAACAGACCTTCTGTATTTGGAGTTCAGCATCTTTTTGCCCAAAGGCCCTATTTCATAAAGGGAAAATTTGGGGAGCTGCGTTGCAATGGTGGGTCAGCTGAAGGCAAAGCGGGTGAAGCCAAAGGCTAAATGGAGTTGAGGTCAAAACTACCTGCATATTGTAGCTGAAAACTCTTACTGATTATAGCCTGTCTTAGGAGAGGCATTTCAGTCTTTTAGAATGGGAGTTCTGAGAAAGATCTTGAGAAGGCTGGGTCTGGTACCTGAGCCTGAGATTGTACGGCCCTGTAGCATCTGTACAAATTCCAGTCTGGTGGGCAGAAGTAACAGAATTAGTTATATGGATGCACCCAGTTCTCCGGAGCACTTGACCTCCCTGCTGCTTTGTATATGGCAGTTATTTAGGACAGATGTTTGTGGAAGAGCCTTGCTAAGCCAGACACAGCCTGTCTGGCTTAAATTACTTATCTGTAGTTTGACATTTTAAGATTGGATTGCAGAAGGCATGTGGCTTGTCAGAGTAGTGGCTGAGATTGAATGTGAAAGCATTTGAGTAAGTTTGTTTTGTCTTGCACCACTGTGTAGGAGAGGTACCAAAATTAACTGCCGCTTGTGTCATTTTCACTACAAATGGGCCCGAGAAATTTGAGATGCATTTCCCTTAGTATTGTGTGGTTGAGTTTAGAATGATGATAAATAGTGCTGCTTTATGGATAATTAATACATTTAGAAATATAGTAATACAAATGGATCTTTTTAAAAGAGCCATATGTCCGGAAGCATGAAATATTGTTATTCATAAACAGACACTGGGTTGTATTCAATTATGGCTCATTGCTCACAGAACTCTTTTCTATTCAGTGGACTTTCGTAACACAAGTGGGTGGGAGGTGAGTTTTTATTGTGCACCCCCCCACCCCCAATCTGTTCCAGAGGATTGGAACTGCTTTGAACTAGTGTGACGTGTGGAGGGGTGGCAGAAGAAAGGGGACCCTGTGAAAATTGCCTTCATCCCTTCAGTCGGTGGAAGCCTCAGATGGAACAGTGAGGCTTCTGCGAACAGAAGGGCACAGTTGGGTACAACACATTATCTCCTCTCTTACATTGCACATTAATTTTTGCATATGTTTGACCCTTTAGGAACAATTGTCAAAATGGAACACAATAAACAGGTGCTGGATAAATTGCAAGTGGAACGGGAAAGAGGAATCACTGTGAAAGCTCAGACTGCTTCCCTCATTTATCATTACAAGGGAACAAATTACCTCTTAAATCTCATTGATACACCTGTAAGTTAATCATCAGTGTGGCTGGAATAATGTGGAACTGAACATAGTGTGTGCATCTTAATTATGGGGCTGGAGCAAGGTTAGTACCTGTATTCCAGCTATTTGCTTGTGCCATCAGGTCTGTGCAGAGGTGCCCTGTTCGGACATATTTGAAGTAAGGCGTACTTATGTATATTTGAGGGTTAGATTGAGCCCCACTGTTAATAGGCAGGAGTGAAGAAGTGCTGTAATTGACAACTGAGCACAGTGCTGCTAAACAAATATGGCTCATTTATTAAAACAGAGGATACGTTAGCAGGAGGGTTTACAAAGATTGCTGGTGTTGGTGACTCCAGAAATCCTCACCAGCATAGGAACTCCATAGAAACATTTGTTGGCTATTCTGGCATCTTCAAAAGAGACGAAGTTATGCTGTCCTAAACTATGTAACTTATATTGGGAATGGGATTACTATGCCATGAACTGTTTCCATAGTCACAGCAATTTAATAGTCAGAGGCCCCCTGTGAGTAATGGTTATAGCAACTGGGATTGTTTAGCTTAGAAAACTGGTGAGTAAGGGGAAGCATGATAGAGGTGTTTAAAATTTAAACCCATGGTGTGGAGACAGTGGGGAGGGAGAGATTTTTCTCCCTCTTGCTTAATACTAGAACGTAGGGTCACCTCATGAAGCTGGTGGGAGAGTCAGGAAAGATAAAAGGAAGTACTTGTTTACACCGTACATAGTTCAGCTATGGAATTCTCTGCTATGGGAATTAGTGTTGACCACCAACACTAATTGTAGGGCCGTAAAAGGGAATTGAACAAATTCATGAAAGAGAATGTGGTTGATGGCGACTTGTCTTGCTGGCTATGTGCTGCCTTCATTATCAGAGGCTTTATTATTTATTATTTATTTATTTAGGAGACTTCTATGCCACCCCATTCGCTGAAGCCTCGGGGCGGCTCACAGCCATAAATAAACTTCAAGATAGAATAATATAAATTCACAATATAAATTAAGTCGCCCTGGCTTTATGCTGCTGGACATTGCTTACTCAGGAGCTTGGGCAGATGGAACTCTGGTACCCATGCTGCTTGAGGGATCCTGCTGATTTGCCACCATTGGAACAGAGTGCTTGCTGGCCTGGCTGAATCATCTGTCTCATCCAGCATGACTCTTCTTACATTCTACTCTGGTGCTTAACTGGGGTTAGGCTCTGCTTAGCTGCCATGATCACTAGTTCCATCATGATTATGAACCATTTCTCTTCAGCTATGGAGAGTTTATCCATTCTCTCACTAGTCCTGGATATCCAGGTATAGTTTCTGTTCCATCCCTCAGGAAAGGAATCCTTTGCGTAGCTGAAACTGGATCCCAGGGCTTTTTGATGACAGTGGGTAACAACATGACTTCATGATGTCCTGTTGATGGTCTTCTTAACCAGGCCTCCAGCTGTGAAGTAAACATTGTTCTTGAAATTCCTGAATCTCTCTTCTTTCCTCCTTTTATTCAGGGCCACGTAGATTTTAACTATGAAGTATCACGATCATTGTCAGCCTGTCAAGGAGTCTTGCTCGTAGTGGATGCAAATGAGGTAGGGTCCTTTTCTTGGCTCTCTTATGTATAGATGATATGTATGTGTTTTATGCCTGCAGCATTGAGAAGCTGTCCTTTTAAAAAATGTAGATAGAGCAATTGCTTCTAAAAAGGATCCATTGACCATCATGTATAACTTAAACAAAAATTATGGGAGGAGACCAACTAAGTCTCCATCATAAGCATTCATTTCTTGTTAATCAAACATGAGATTATTGGCTTTGTGAGAGTCTGAACCTATATTTTGTCAGGCTGCTACAATTGATAGCGAATATGCCTGGTTGAACACAGTAAAACTTGACTTCTTAATAAAGTTGCATAGTTCTGCTGAAGACCTAATTTTGATGAGAAGTATAGTGCCTTAAGAGTAGATGGCTCATAAGAATTAGATAATCACAGTGTCAAAAAGCATGTCCCAGACTTTTAAAAGAACAATATTTTCCCCATCATTGAACAGGATAGCAGGCATCTTTCCTTAAGATAATACTGCCAAAATTTGCATTGGCCTAGAATTCAAGTCTCTGTTTTTTTTGTGATTTATTTTCCTTTTTTTTGTTTTGTTTTGGTGATGCATATTTTGTGATGCTGCAATGCTTGTGAGCAGTCATATCTACATCTTGGGCTAGTGATGTGAAACCATTAATGACACCATTGTTTCCCTCCCCAGTGCTATTTTGTGTGGTTCTGTTTTTCTTTTCTTTTTAATCATTAGTCCAAAGATCAAGTACCTCTGCCAGCCTATGGGTCAAACTCAATTTCAGAGAAATTTTCAGGGGATACATCTACTGGGAGATGGGGCCAAAGGCAAAAATGGATGTGGCCACAAAACCTGAGGCAGCATCATATTTTAATTTAAAGCTCTTACTGCCAGTAGTTAAGCCTTGGGAGAGGCATTTCAATATTTTAGCTGCAAAACCACCAAATGACTGATGATTGGGGAAAGGGGTGGAATCAGGAAAAATATGTGAACTTCTTGGGGAACTTGGAGGGCCAGACAGGGAGTCCAGGCTAAGGGGTCAAATCTAGCCCTTCTAAAGTTCTGCAGCCCTGCTTTAGAGGAAGAGTATCACAAATGTTTGAGAATGTTTATTATCCCTTTAAACAGCAGTAGGTTCGGATAGCCCAATAATCCACACTCAAGATCAAGCTTGGCGGGAGGGTAGGTTGCTGTTAAACCATGGTTGTTGCTGAAGTTTGGTTCTTCATGTTGTCTAAATCCACCCACAATAACAAAGTTCGTTAGCTGAAAACAACTCATAGTTTACAACCCAACAACACACCATGGGTTTGTTGGTTGTTCATGGTTAACAAGCCATAGATTGTTAGTGCAGGTACATTCAGATAGTCCAATAACCCACAGTTCAACCACAACTCACACTAATCTCATATTCAACTCTTGAGTGTGGCTTATCGTGTTGTTTGAACCCAGGCAATGTGAAGAGCACTGTGGCCATATTTAAGTGCTGGATGTCCCATCAACCCTTCTCCATGCACAAGATTTGCTCCAGAAGACAATTCGCATTCAGACCTGGTTTCTGCTGAGATGACCCTTGTGCTATGATTGGGGGAGATAGATTAGATAAAAAGTATTGTTACACAAGCAGTTTTCTTTGTGCATTTCCTTTTCTTTTCTATGGAAGAGTACAACATGTACAAGTCCTCAAATGTTTCATATAGATTTTTTTTCTAGGGTATTCAAGCTCAAACAGTAGCCAATTTCTATCTTGCATTTGAAGCACAACTATCAATAATTCCTGTGATAAATAAGGTAATGCTAACCACATGTCATGCAGTATTAATAACTCTTAGCTAGCTTACAAATATAGAATAATGACTTGCCCTCAGTACCTCAAGTGCATTTGTGACAGAGGCTAAGCTCAGTGGGGGTGGTTGTCATGCTGACCGTGAATATTTCTGAACAGTTCTCTTCCATGATTATCTTTTCCTGCCTGTATTCATTATAAACTATTTCTTACTTTTAAAACTCCCTGTGGTCTTCCTATTTTTCCTCCTTGATTTCTCTTGATGTTTCCTTATGTTCTCTATGCGTTGCTCAATTAAATGTTCTGTTAGGCTTCATGTTTCCTTAATGATGAATTATCTTTGGTCACTGAGGCTGCAGTTCTGTACACTTACCCGGAAGTAAGCCTTATTAAAAACACTGGGACTTACTTCCAAGTAAACAAACATAGGACTGTGCTTCACATTTGGTTTCTCCTTGTGGTTTTTTGTCTTCTCTTTCCCTGCTCTTCTTACTTAACTTTATATTGCTTCTTCAAAGCAGCAACAGAATTTGAAATTTGCACCACAAACACAAACTTGTGTTTTGCTTCACTTTCCCCTTTTCTGTTTTTACCTTTTCTTTTGTCGATTTTAGACATGAAGTTGCAGGCAGAGACTTGGTCTTTTGTTTTAAAGATACTTTGTATAGTGTGTAGCAATTTTAGGGGCCTTCTAAATTAATTACGAGGTTGAACCAAAGACTTTTGATTTCACATGGCTGGTCTAAATCAGCTTTCCTCAACTGGTGCCCTCCAGAGGCGTTGGGTAACAGCATCCAGCATTCTTGATTGTAGGGCAAGCTGGCTGGGGCTGATGGTTTGTTAAGGCTATTCTGAATAAACCTTCTCTCTTTAACTGAACATTACTAGGTTTATTCTTAAAAACCCCCCAGAAACTTTCTAGATTGTGTGGTGTGGAGGGGAGGCAAATGGACTAATACAACACCTCCCCCCCATCAATGAAAATATTTATTTAAATTTTGACTGCACTACAATTTACTTCAAGTATCTGCTGCATGGTGTGTATTGCCCTAACAGTCAAGCTAGTGTAATGAAAACATTGTTTTGCAGATTGACCTAAAGCATGCAGATCCTGAGAGGGTTGAAAATCAAATTGAAAAGGTGTTTGATATCCCCAAAGAGGACTGCATTAGGGTAAGATACATTTTAAAGTTTGTATGCTTTTGGCAATTGTTGCTAAAACTCTTCGACATGGAGTCTGTTTGTTTTGATTTTTTTTTAAAGCATGTCCTTACAGTGCACCCCTATGCATGTTTACTCAGCAAACATTGAATGTAGCAAAGTCAGCTACATTCAATGGAAGGTCCTCCCTAGTAAGTATGTATAGGATTGCAGCCTCTGCCACATACCCTAACCTAGCAAGGATGAGGCATAAGAAGAAGTTGACTTCTACCCCACAAATGCCTTTCTGGATGTGTGGGGTAAGATCCCCCAGAGCCCAGCACCAAAGGCTGATCTCTGCTGGAGAGGATGTGTATGTGATTGCTCATAAGCTTGCTGGTAAGGTCAGCTTTACGGATAACCTGTCACTTCTTTGTCACTATATTTAGCTGATGTGCAGTGATGATCTCTTTGGCTAGTACTTGTGCAGACATGCTTCTCTGTGTTAGTGCACTTGGTTTTGTGGATTGAATCCATGGATTGCAATATTATGTGTACTTAAAGGCTGTGTGGCCTGAAGTGCATACATTAACTGTTCTGAATTCCAGTTGCAATGCATATGTTGCTGGTGCTGTTTCTAGCAGCCTCAAATTTTCTTGTTGACTGTTAGAAAAATGTAAATGTGTTGGAAATAAGCTATTTTTCCTCCTCCTCCTCCTCCTCATTATTATTATTATTATTCCCTTTAACTAAAGGCATTCAGGATGGCTTACAAGGATGCTGTCAGGCACTGGTCTTCTTCCCACCTACCCCCAACCCCAATCTCAAAAAGATTTAGACAAAATACTTTGTGACTAAAGTCTTTATTATCTCAAAGCTGACCACCTAGGCTGGGTTTGTGATGCAAAAGAAGAGATACAAAAGAAGAGAACTAAAGGCATAGGCATCCTTAAAATATTGGCTGTTGTGGAAATGTAGATTAATGATTCTAAACTGGTTCTAAACTGAATATCTCTCCTCTTTTCCAAACCAAAAAGAGCTGACTCTACTTTCAGACTGATTAATACTGCCTATGGGCCAATTGCTGGGAATTGCTGAAGCTTCTCAATTATTCTGCTCTTCTAACCTGATGTTCTACCATCAAACTAATGATGCTGCATCTTCCTTGCTCCCATATCCATTTGCTCAACAGAATTTTCCACAGAACTTGAAACTTTCTGGTTTCATCGACTGCTTGACTTATCTCTGGATCTGTTGGTGTTGTTAGTTCAGCTGAGAGTTCCAACTCCTCCTCTGATTCAGAATCTGAGGCAGCAACCTTTGAAGCTAGTGTGATGTAGTGGTTAAGACTGGGAAGTTGGGAGACTTGTGAGATCAGAGTTCTAGTCCCCACTCAGCCATGGAGTCACAGACACTCAGCCCAGCTTGCCTTACCGAATTGTTGTTCTGAGGAAAAGATTGAAAGGAGAAATATGTGAGCCACCACAAGTTCCTTGAAAGGAAAAAAGGAAAGAAATATATAGAATAAATAAAAATTAAATGAAAGCTGTATTGTAGGATGAGGATTGGGCCGAATTCCTGCTGATACTAATTAAGACAGCTCGAAAAGATACAACACAAAAGCAAAGGGGATTGGGGGGAGGAGCAAAAAAGGAGCAAATTCAGGTGTCCTAATTGCCAAAATCAGCTTTTCATGGGCATGGAGTGGTTGCTGCTTCTTCCTCTAACATCCCCTGCAGTGACAGCCAGTAGAAGGAGGGAGGGAAACTTTCGGCTGGAGCTATATCCTGCCATTCTTCTGATTGCTGTTCTTTCTTGTTACTCCTGTTTCTGAATACACCTGCAGAGTGAGCTTTTAAAAGACATTGAAAAAATGCACTTGCTTATTTTTCCTAGTTTTTTAAAAAGAATTATAGCTGGGCATCATGAGTGAAACCTATTAGGTTGAATCAGGTTGATGCATGTGCAACAGCATGGAGATCTGTGCCCTCCCCTCTCCAAGGTAGCCCCTCCAACCCCATGAAAATGCTTCTCAGGGATTGTTGGAAGGGCCACACTGATGAATGAGGTGATATGATGTAGTATGATATAATCCTGTCTAAATCAATATTTTAATGTTTTAATATTGAATTTTATTATTGTATTTTATTTACTCGCAGCCAGAGTGGGTCATCAATTTATTTATGCTGTAAGCCTTCCAGAGACATAAGTAATTGGATGGCATACAGATTTAATTAATTAATTAATAAGTAAGTACGTAAGTAAGGGTGCTGGGGGAATCCCCCAAACTTGGGTGACAGCATCTTCCATGAGTGGAGAGGCCTGCCGTTCACGGAAGAGAGAGACCCTGAATCCCGTCTAAAACATAATGATGCCATTATGAATTGTCAAGTTGTGCGTCCTGTCGGCTTTCTCTTGAAATGATGCCAGCTTGCAATTTTACATTGTCTTAGGTTTCTGCCAAACTTGGAACAAATGTTGAACAAATACTAAAGGAAGTCATTGAAAGGATCCCTCCGTAAGTTTTCTTTTCTGGCATTTTAAGTACTATTGAGAAATAGTCTGTCTTAAGTATACCTATACTTAGGCCAGTTTATAGTTCAGTCCCATGCATGTTTAAGCAGAAAAAGGTCCGTATTGTCCTGTTATAGCACTTATCTATCTTAATTTAGTGAGTATTAATTTTAGTCCATATGCCTGCTAAATCAGATGTGATTGAAAATTACTATGTGAAGTAGCACAAGGTGCCATTTTGCACATACTTTTATTATTTGCTGCAGAAACTGGATCTGTTGTTATATGGACACTTTGGAAAAATACATATGAACTACAGCTTAGTTCTTGGTGGTTGGTTTTGTGGCATTCATGCCATGGTGCAGAGGGCCAGATGGAAATTTTGTATGTTGTGAACGAGCTCATCCGGTTTTATGCAGTTTATTTTTGTGTTATTTTGCTAATTAAAGTTAATTTGGTTTTTATTTTTCTCTCTGTTATATTAATTACAGATTTATATATTTTTGTGTGTAAGTTGCCTCAAGACTATTTTTTGCAGTAGGAAGAAATGCATCAATTTAATACTAATAATACATTTAAGAATGCAACCTTGATCTCCCTCTCTCCTTTGACAGGCCCAGCGTTAGCACACACGACCCACTGAAGGCACTGGTGTTTGACTCCACCTTTGATCACTTCAGGGGTGTGATTGCTAACATAGCAGTGCTTGGTGGGGAAATTTGTAAAGGCCATAAGATCTCCACAGCTCACACAAAAAAAGTATATGAAGTTAATGAAATAGGGATTCTGACACCTGATGAACAGCCAACACATAAATTGTAAGTTCTTTTACATTTTTGAAAAAGTTATTTGATGCTTTAGAAAGACCTTTATCTTGGATATTCAGGAGACATAGAACAGGGACGTTTTTATGCTAAGCCCAAGATGTGAAGGCCTGGAAAAATGGAGGGTGGATCCTGTCATTTTTTGAAGACTTTTCCCTGATAACAGTGGGAAATTGGTAAAAATGTTATATATGCTTGAATCTTGCAGACAGGAAAAATTCTTCATGAGGAGGATCATTCCAATGAAAGCACAAGTAGCTTTACCCAAAGTGTTCATTCCCCATGTCTTATTTTTGCTCCTTCTAGAAAACCATCATCTTCATAAAGTGTTTTCCTATCAGCAGCAGTATCTTTCAATAAACAAACATAGCAAGCAAGAGCAATGCATTCTTCTGGAACCCCATTGTCCATTACTGAAAATAAATCCAAGCAGGAAGCTTTTAAATGACTAAGGGCACTGTCCAGGAATCATAAGAACTCAGGGGATTATGGGTGATGAGAGGAATGCCGAACCTGGCATTCCTTCCATGCTTCTCTTGCCCTCCACAACATTAAGCTGACTTATTTCAGCCGCTGTTTCTCCCCTCCTTGCAAGGAGGAAGGGTGAGGATTCCTTGGAGGATGGCAGAGCCTGGCTTCTCCCCTCCCTGGCCCCAATTGTGCCAGCTCCAGAGATGATATTCCATCTTTGGAGCCACAGCCTGTGCGGAAAGAACTGTGTTGGCTGTATGGGCACAGGGCGGGTCCTCTGTGGCTGAACTCCAGGTCATAGCAGGGCCTCCAAGCTGTCTCATGGCCCCCAAACAATGTCATGAGGCTATCCAACTAGACCAGGGGCCGGCAACCTTTAACACTCAAAGAGCCATTTGGACAGAAGGAAACACCGGGAACCGCAAAACCCTTTTGACATCTAAAATGAAGATAACACTGCATATATCGTTTTTTACCTTAATGCTATGTATATCTTCATTATGATTTAGCTGCAGCTCTTGTTCAGTCACTAAAAACAGTTATTTTTAATCTTACATTATAAACTAGTAGGACTCCTTTCATATATTTTGAATAGGAGAACAGCTTCCTGCAGAGTCAAAGTCATTGCTAAAGGGCTGCATGCATTAAACAGCAAACCCCATAAGTTCGTCAGCAGTAAAAGCAAATGCATCTACCCACGTATCATTAAACGTTTGGTTTTCTTTAGAAACTTTTCTTCGATTTATCCATGGTTGGCCTACAGGGGGGTGGGGAGCTAAGTAAAGCGGCACAGGTCTGCAGATCGGCGGCTGTGCCGGAGATATAGGTGTGTTTAGTGACTGACTGGCAGATAAACAGTCAACTGCTGTGAATTGTGACAGGTCCCAAGCACAGCTTTTAACATTCAGATGAAGGAGATTTCATTGGGACAAAGAGAATCCTTTCAGCAGAATATGAGCGCCTGCAGGAAGCTTGTTTAGCAGAGGAATGTAGCGATTTACTTAACTAGCTGATTTACTTAACTAGCTAGCTCTGTGTTCCTGAGTGGAGCTTCGAGCAGATCAGCAGTTGTAAAGGTGCGTGTTTTGAGTGATGGAGCCGCAGCAGAGGGGTTCAAGAGCCACGTGTGGCTCTGGAGCCGCGGGTTGCCGACCCCTGAACTAGACTCTCAGACCACCGCATGGGTTGCCCAGGAGGCATTGTTTGAGCAAGCCTGTTTTAGAGAAGGAACGTGAACATATAATGGAATCTGTGCAAGGAGCAATCAAGGAAGCACTGTGTCTCGCAGTATTGAAAGGTGAGTGGACAGAGATGAGGGGAGAAGGAATCATAAACACTGTGATAACAGCAACTCAAGTAGTTTTTACAGAGGCATTGAAACAGAAAAGGGCAGACATACTTTTGGGAATATCATTTGTAAAATATGTGAAGTACTACAGAAAATGAGGCATGGCAAAGTGCTGACTGACAATTGGAGTAATACGAAAGCGACATGGGAGATCATAATGAATAACTATCCATATATTAGTGTGACAGGAAGTACATGTCAGGGTAAAACTTGTTTCTTAATGACATCATGAAACCGGACATCATTCGAAACATCTATAGGCAAGCAAGAGAAGTTATAAAACATATAAAAGTTCCTCATATTGTAGCTGCTGTCTTCAAAAAGTAGCAAGAAGAATAAATTGAAAGAATAAAATAATGACACTGAAACTTTGTAGTAAAATATCCTGACTTAAAGTAATGATCTCCTTGGAAAGTTTACTAAAAAGGAGATTCTGTTCAATACATAGTACTAGTTGAAGATCTTTCAGAAGCATAAGGAATTCCTTACTTGATGAGGATGTTCTGAATCACGCTGCAGAATTCCTTGAAGATTCTGAAGCCATTTTTTTCAATGAAGATTGCATCTGAATGAGAAATTCCTTACAGAAAGGGCCAAGATAAATAACTAGTTTTGAGAATTGAAGTGCATCTCCACTTACAAGTAGCATGATTTATTTTAGTAAGAAACAGGAAGAATTTTGTTGTTGTTCAGTCTATGATGCTGCAAATCTCTCAGATCCCAGATTAAAGGCAGAAGTGTAAGTGATGGTAGCCCTGCTACTGCATTTGATAGGATTGGAAAGGATGTTAGAATGGATGTTGGTACTTTCAAATGTTGTAGAATACAGAACATCTTCAGGGATTAGGTCCAGAAATACAGTCTGAGATGCTATCTTCTGCAGCATGCTGTCAATGCCTTCAATTATTATTAATAATAATAATAATAATAATAATATAATAATATTTTTACACTACCCCATCACAGACATCTCAGCACAGTACACAACAACATTAATAAAATAGAATAAAAATAGGAGTAAGAGTAGCACAGCATCCAATGTTGGGTATAAAACCACAAATTAAAACAACATTAGCAATTAAAATATTGGGAGAATAAAAAGGTTTTCACCTGGCGCCTAAAGGAAAGAAGTGCTGGTGCCAGAGAAGGCCCTCTGGGTAGCCACGTTCCTGATCTTTTCCAAGGACAGCTCCTGGAGGAGGGCCTCTGCACAGCCTCTGACTTCCTTTGCTTCTTGCCTACTTCAGATGCCTCCATTTTCTGCAGCATGAGAAAGCAACTGGTTAATTTTTGGAAGTAAATCCAATCAAGAAATAAAGTGCACGTAAATGCTTGCTTCAATCCAGGCAAACCTGCTTTTAGGCAATGATGAAGATGAAGATAAAGATAAAGCAGCAACATGTCCCTTTCCATAGATGCCTACCCCGGCCCCAAGGTCATTATTGGCGGTGTTTCTTAGAGTACCCCCTCTGAAATAAATAAGGAGGCTGGTTAAAAGGAGAAGGGCCTTTTTCACAGTGACCTGGAGCCTTCTCTGTATTCTTTTTCACACCAGCCAAAGAAAGACCTTTGTATTTAAATAATATTTTAATTGTTAAGATAACTTTAGAGATTTTATGGTGTTTATTATATCTTGTACTACTGCTCCTTTTAATGATTTTAATGGTCTAAGAACTGTGGTTATTGTGTGATTTCTTTGTAGGGCTTTTTCTGTGTTTGACGTTGTGATTTTTTTTGGTAATATTTTGGCTAATTTATATTATGTGTTATTATGTACAGTGGTACCTCAGCTCATGAATGCCTCAGTTCATAGCCAAATTGGATCATGAACAAAAATTTCATAAAAAATTTTCACTCAGGTTGCGAACTCTGCATTGGGTGGCAGCCGCGATTGTGGCCATCTCCCCACTCCCTCCAAGTGGGGAGATTGCCGCAATTGTGCTGGGAGTGGGGGGGAAGATGGGGGAGAGATGTCCAAGATCGTGCCCGCCTTTCCTGCAGGAGTGCAACCTCGATCTTGGCCACCCCCCCCCCCCCCCCGCAGCATGTTCGCGCCCATCTCCCTCCCCCAGCATGCCCGCGTTCGTACCCACCCCCAGAAGCACGCCTGCGTTCATGCCCATCTCCCCCCTTTACAGCTAATTCATGGATATAAATCTAATAAATAAATGTGTGCAAAAATTGCAGAGCTTTTCAATATTATTTTTTAAAAGAATAGCAGTAGCATAGGGGAAAGGATTTGTCAGAATTACAAGCTGCTGATTTGCAACTAATGACCTAAATAGCTTTATGAGAAAGATTTGAAATATTTAATGTAATACATATTTCTGGATTCTGCACATTTCATTTAGGTATGCTGGCCAGGTGGGCTATCTGATCGCTGGAATGAAAGACGTTGCAGAAGCCCAAATAGGAGATACAATCTATTTACATAATCAACCAGTGGAACCATTTCCTGGGTTTAAATCGGCAAAACCGATGGTCTTTGCAGGTGAGTTCTGCATATTCAAAAGATGGCAGGTAGTTTAATGTTAATAAAATAACAGGGAAGTGATCATCTTCCTTATGGAAATTTTGTTGCTGCATCTGGAAACATGCAGTTGTGGCATGAAAGTAGACATAGTATGCTACCTTTGTCAAACAAACAGCATGAGGAGGAGACCTAAGGTTAAGGGTTGTTCAGCATCCCTTGATACCAAAATGAGAAGCCAGTAGTACCTTCTGGATTCCATAATGTGGAAAGAGTGAGTGAGTGAGTGTGTGTGTGTGTGTGTGTGTGTGTGTGTGTGTGTGTGTGTGCTTAAAGTGCAGTCTTGTTTCTGGTGCTGGTAACAAGAAATTGCTGAAGGATCATTTCAACTTTCTAATGGTTCATACAGTAAAAGAATACTGAATATCCATGAAATAGCAAAGCTACAGGGTGTTGATCTTAGCAGTATGCTCTGTGAAGAAAGTTTCAAGAATTTTGGATGAATTGTTCCATTAGTTATTGTAGAAAATAATAAAACCATGTCCTCTATGCACATGGAAGTTTACAGAAAGAGCGAAGAAGAAAGGTTCCTGCCCCAAAGAGCTTACAACCTGATGTTTGACAAGGAGACAAAATCTGGAGTCTGGAAGGACAAGAATTTCTTGTAATGTCAGTGCCCTTTCCCAGGCTGGCTGTGTTTATAAACAGGTGTGTGGGAGCAGTGATCCAGTTTGATTGTCTGATTTAAAAAGCGGCAGGCCTTACATGGGCAGCCAACCACCCAGATCATCTGTTCAGAGCCCTGGCACAAACAAAACCATGATGGGTAGAAAAGCGATTGCTGCAGCTCCTCTCTCTTCCTCATCTTTCATGCAGTGTGGCTGGGCTGTTGCACTGCCTGAGAGCAACGGTAGCATGAAAGGTTTCTCACATGTCTGTATTGTTCCTTCCTCCATTTGCTGGAAACAGTTTTTCCCCTTTCTTTTCCTTTTTCAGACACAGACACAGTGAACAAAATTACGAGGGGCCAACCTGCATGTTATGTTAAATAGCTGAGGAAGTGCAATTTTCATCCATTCCTTATGCAAGCAGCTATTCATACTGCCATCCATGTAGTTCTGGATCCCAGTAGAAACCACACTCCTGCAGTAACCTTTGAATTTGCTCAAATTAACCCACTTGTCAAGACTAGTAATTTAATTAGGCAATCCAAGAAGACATCGTGAGACTTTTTATTGCCTTAGAAGTTTGGGAATACAGAATCTAAATGTAAATTTCAGTACACTGCTTCCCACTGAAGAGCAGGCAACTTTGTGAGCATTTGCAAGCAGGGATTTTTAGAAGGAGGAGTGCTGTAATACAAGGATAAGAGGATAAGCACAGTCTTCTGGTTAACGGTGCCTTTGTTTTGTGTTCATGGTGGATTTCTGTGAATTATGCAGGGTGATGTTTCAGAGCCTTATTGTGAAGCAACTTTTGGAAAGGTGGCTTAATTTTTATGCTGAAAGAATAATAAATTTGGATAGGCTTAAAAATAATTTTTGCTTTCAGTGTTGAGATAACCGATTTTCCTTCATTAGCTTTAATTTCCAGAAACCTTTTTCTTTCATGGAAAATTCCACGAAACACTTACATAGTTTATTCCATTGGAGATCTGTCAGGAATATAAGTAAGAATGTGTGTGTATATTCATTAATACCTTTATGTAAAATCAACCTGAAGAATTGTAGTTCAAAATAGAGTACATTATTGGTGGGCTGAAGTCAGAAAGATGCTGCTACAAAACAGGTTTTAATGCGGGCCTGAATCATGTGCATGGCAGTATTGATCTGCCATTTTTATCACTCAAAGTTCTGTGTGTATTGACAGGAATGTACCCAACAGACCAGTCAGAATATAACAACTTGAAAAGTGCTGTAGAAAAACTGACACTGAATGACTCTAGTGTTACTGTTCACCGTGCTAGTAGCCTTGCTCTGGGAGCTGGATGGAGGTGAGTTTTATTGTGTTCAATCTACTGTTTCAGGCTTTAGCTTCAGGGAGTTTTTGTTGATGCAGTAATCTTTAGTGCAGAGTGGAAATTTCCCTTGGTTTCATTTGGCTTGGATGCTGAACTTGCTTAGTTGGCATTTGTGGCCAAATTATTCTTTAGTATGCTGTAATTGACAATGCAGGTGGCCAAAGAATACAGTGTAAATCTTGTATTTACAGGTTGGGTTTCCTCGGCCTTTTACATATGGAAGTTTTTAATCAGCGTTTGGAGCAAGAATATAACGCATCTGTCGTTTTGACATCCCCCACAGTTCCATATAAGGCAGTACTTTCTTCAGCAAAATTGATAAAGGTAATGGGGGATCTAAAGAAACTGACAAATAAATGATAAATGTCACACAGCATCCTGGGGTAAATTGTAGTTAAAACAATTGAAAAGAAATAAATTTCAAGTGTCAAGGGGCTTTATATCACTATGGCTCGGTTCAGATGCCCTGCTGGGCCAAATGCCAAGCTATGGTTTTGGCACTCAGAAACACTGAGGCTTATATTCTACCTGCCACTCCATGGCCCATTTTATCATCTCCTCAGTTAGTGTTGACTCTGGTTTAGCATATTTCTGAAAGTGTAAGCTTCTGGCAGCCAAGCTAAAACCCAGTGCTTAAAGCTGCTTGCCGTGTCTGGTTAAGCTAGTTAATGGTAGCTGTAGCTGTGATTACACTTAGACATAAGCTAAACCATAGTTAACTGAGTGGAAAGAAGTATGTGAGACTGATTGGGGAAGGGAGTGGGTGGCAAGTGCTTGAGCCTTGAGAGCACTCCACATTGCTAATTCATGGTTTGATGGTCAGCTTGGTGAGAGATCTGAACCAGAGTGGTATGTTGTTTTTCTCTTTCTGTAGGGCAGTATCTAAATTGTGTTGTATTCCCAGCACTGGTAATAAGCATCTGCAGTTCCACCTGTCTTTGAACTCATGTCATTGGGCTCATTTTTCAGCTTGAGTCATTGCAAGGACTGAGAGAGAAATTCAGAAATGAAAAAGAATTACTTAATCTCAGTGGTATTTGGCCATTGCATATACAGGTGAATCTTCCAGAAAGGGGGGAATATGCAGTTCTTATGCTGGGACTTATATTTGGAGATAGGCATTTCTTCTTCTTTTCAGTTGAAAGACTCAGATGAACAGCCAATTTAAATTCACAAATAAATACTTTTTCAGAATTGTAACAAAACAATAAAGAGTTCTCCTTTGCTAGGAATTTGTGACCAGCCACATTGCAAGCTAGTTTCTCTTGACTAATTTTTTCTAGGAACATGGGAAAGAGGAAATCACCATCATAAATCCCTCTGAGTTTCCTGATAAGTCAACAGTAGTGGAATATTTGGAACCAGTTGTTTTGGGCACAGTCATAACACCTGAAGAATATATTGGGAAAATAATAGCGTTGTGCCAGGTTGGTTTGCACCAGTGAGTTGAGAACATTAACAAATTAAATGAGGCAATTTTAATTAACCAGTCTTGTGGTTTTCAGATTTCTGAGAAACAATTTGTCAGCAGAACAAGTTGCAAAAACCTTTCATATTGCAGAGGATTCTGGGGGCATATTCTGGAGCACACAGTTCGTGCAAGATACTAGCTAGGTGCCTTGAGTCCCATTATTACTTAGTGCCCTAGACCAAACCAAACATTCTCCTGCAACTGTACAGTGCTGAGAAAGTCAGTGGTGGACACCCCCAGATTTCCAAGAACTTCTTTATTCAAATAATTCATATGAGCTAGATGATAGTACAAAATAAATCCTTTTATTATACTATTATTATAAGAAGCATTGTCATCATTGATCACAATTTTTCTTCTAGTTTTCAGAGCAGTTTACTTGGTAATCCTTAGAAATGCCTTCTAAAGTAGGTATTCAGCAATATTTGACTGTCGGCCAGTTTTCTAACTTGTCCAGGCTAAGTACATATTTTTCCAGCTTCACAGACGTTCTTGACTAAATATGTCCTCTTGAGAACTTTACAGCTTGTCAACAAGTTTCAGAGCTGCACAAATTATTCCAAACAATTGCTTCTGGTAAAGTAAATGGGCTCATGTTAAGAAGAAGCTCAGTGTTTGTCCTGAGCTACATACAATCTAAATATCAAACCATCTTTTTCAATAATATCTGGGCTCCTGATGCCATTCTCACCCTGCAAGAAAAGCTGTAGGACCTCTAGGATGAGAAACTTGTGGTCCACCAGAAGTTGTTGGACTCCAACTCTCAAATCTCTGACCATTGGCTGTGCTTGCTGGGCTGATGGGTGGAGTGTGACATCTGGCAGACCACAGGTTCTCCACCCCTGCTGAAGGTGGTGAAATAAGATGATGTATCTGTTATTTCTTTTGGTACCTCATCAATAAGAAGTGTGATGGGTGGGGGGTGGGTGGAAAAACCCAAAGATTTGCAAAGACATCCAAAAATAAATCTTCCATAGACACTGGATCTTGAATGGCTTATAATTAATTTTCTGGGCTTATTATTAGTCCTTCAGTTCAGAATTTATCCATCATGTTTCAGAATTTAACATTTTGTTTAGATTCTTCTTTGCCATCTTCATAGTTATCCCAGAAAGGTATTGATATACATAGTACAATACAGTAAAACAATTTAAAATGTATTTGAGATCCATAAACTATTTCAACCAGCTAAAAAGCTATAAACTTAAATCTAAAATTTAACAAAATTGAGAATTTGTTCTAAAATGCTTAGGCAAATAAAAAGCAAATAGCAGTTGACTCTCAAACTACTGTGCTACTTTTCAGACTCGAAGGGCTGTTCAGAAGGATTTGGTGTACATTGATGACCGAAGAGTTATGATGAAGTATTTATTTCCACTGAATGAAATTGTAGTAGATTTCTATGATGCTCTGAAATCCCTCTCCTCTGGATATGCCAGGTAAAGTAATTTCTGAACTCTCCTTCAGTACTGAATTCTATATTTTCGCTCTCAAGTATATGATATATACTTTGGTACTATCTTACCTTTACTGTGATGGTGGGCAATATAAGGAGGCATCGTTACGGGAAGATGGAATGAGATGAGTTGTTGAAATGATCACCCCAAGGCCCCTTCCCGTTGTTGTGGAGCCTGGGTATCACACTGTTTCTCAGTGGAGATGCAGGCAAAGAGGCTGGTTAGATCAAGGCTAGAATGGAGGTGATGGAAAACATTTTGTGAAAAAGATTGAACTTGGCCTAGAACATTTGCCCATGTTTATCATGTAAAAGGTTTCTTCATTACCACTATTACGTACTTTTGTTGTTGCTCAGGAAAGTTGTTCCATCTAGTTTGGGATCTTTTAACATCTACTCATAGACAGCCCACTGTTGAGCTTCCTTCCCTTTCATAAGCAGTCAGCACTGACTTACAAGCCGTTGGCCCCAGCTATGTACCTTTGAATCCATGTTGCTGCATTTTTTAAACTAACTGGTGTTTCTTTTCTCCCCTGATGAACATGATTTTATTGTGTTTCCTTTATTTGCAGCATACTTTGGAGCAATTTTATAATGGAAAACAAGTAATCAATTGTATAAATAAATGTCTCAGTTTACTTAGATGCCTGAGAGGAGAGAGCCTGTTTGCAGCCTTTTAAGACCTTGCTGTCTTTGGCAGATGGTGTCCTCCTTTCACTATTACTTCCTGTGAAGTCCTCTAGCGTACTCTAGTGGAAGCTGGGGGAATATTTTAAAAGAGGAAAGATCTCCTGAGATTTCACCTCAAATATAGTAAATACCTGAGCAATGACTGCCTTGTGTCTTTATAGATCTGGTTGACCTAAAGGTGTGCTCAGTATCTTAGGCTGTGGTTGATTCTTCAATAGGACTGCAGTGGAGAAGAATTTTCCTATTATGTAAAAGTGAACATCTGACTAGGAGATAGAAAAATGTGTCTTCATTTGAAGCATTATTGAGCTATTATATAAAAATTGCTGTTCTTTTAAAAAGTCACAGTAAGTCATTCTGTTATTGCTTTCTTCTTCAGTTTTGACTATGAAGATGCAGGATACCAGTCTGCAGATCTTGTCAAAATGAACATTCTTTTAAATGGAATTGCTGTAGAAGAACTGGTAACTATTGTGCATAAGTACGTCAACTTTAAATGCACTCCTATTTCCAGAGAAAACTAAGTATCTATTCTATATTGTCTGCAAATCATAAGAAAATTAAGTTTAGAAGAAACCCAGTACTTGTGGGGTCATGGTCAGACAGTTAAACAGATCCTCAGATAAGGATTGTGAGGAATGTAAAACTGCAGAACACTATCTGCATTTCCAGTATGAGCTGTGGGATTTCCAAGTGACCTTTCTTGCATTTAGGAATATTAAAAAAACCCTATCTTTTGATTTTTTAGTTCCATTGTGCAGTTAAGATTATTTTTATGTACAGTGCTAATTCTGTCCCTCAGAATGATTCCATTGCATTAACGCAGCCTTTGTGTAGTTAAATTAGATACTTGAGGAAATTAAAGTTTGCAGTGATAAGTTTAAACTTTGTTATTCAAACCTTTTCTTTTAAAGGGAGAAAGCATATCCTATTGCTAAAACCATGTGTGAACGTTTAAAAGATATTATCCCAAGACAACTGTTTGAAATAGCTGTTCAGGCAGCTATTGGAAACAAAATAATTGCAAGGGAAACGTAAGTTGTTGGTCTTGATATTGTTCTAAAAATACGTGTTGACACTACTGAAAACCACACTAATACATTGCTCCCTGCCCCCTTCATCTCTATTAACTGTTGCCATCTTCTGTAGTATGTACTTATGGTTCTAATATTCACCTGGCATCTCAGTTGAAATCAGTTGTGTGTTTAAATAATACAAATTCAAATTTGCAGGTAAATTAGTTTTATTGAATGTGGTTATTCATTCATTCTTTTAACCTACTTTCAGAGCATTCCAGAGACCAGGCCCCTCTATTGAAAAAGTCCTAGTGAATGCCAACCTGATCTCAGAGAAGCCATCTAGACCAGTGTCAGCCTCCCAGCATGCAGGGATGTCAGAGGTGTTCAGCACCTTGAATTGCCTTGGAGACTAACCAATAGCTGTTGAAGCTTATGGGAACCATGTGCTGCCTTCTGAATCACTTGAAGTTTTTGAACTGTCTTGAAGGGCAGCAACACGGTTGGGGCAGAAACAAAATAATCCCACATCCTGAATGAAAGGAATAATAACCTATAAAGAAGGATGATCACATGTCTCTGTCACACCTCTGAGATCAGCAAGTGCATAGTGCAGAGTAGGCATTTCAGACAAGTTTGGTATGTGAAAAGTAGGTAGAAAATTCTAGTGGGTTTGTCATAAAATATGTAGCGAAATAAAAAGTGGACTGTAGGAAATTCTAGACTTCATATCAGATAGTGCCATTTATGATTTGATGTTATGTATTATTGATATATAATATATGAATGAATATATATGGGGATTTGTGAAACAATATGGGGTGCAGTTCTAGGGTGGCTAGACATTGTTTGGACAGCTGTAGATAATTTGGAGAAGGTTAGAGAAGCTAACCTTTTACAGGTTTGGAGTGTCCTCCTGCTCCTCTTGCATCCAACACAGTTATTTCCATGCTGGCTGCATTTCCGAGTTTACAGAAGGGATCGTAGAACCAATGTTGGGGAAAGGAGGAACAAGGCATTGTTGTCCTACAAGAAACCCTGGCAAAGCCTCTGACTCCTTCTTGTGAGTCAGTGTAAGATGACTGATACCAGCTGTTTAAATGTTTTGGAGGGCAGGAAGAGCACAGAGGTAATCTTCACTTCTATACTTATTCTGTCCTCAGGTGGATGCCTGTAATCTTCCCAGATGAGAAGGTTTATTTATCTCTTATTTATTACATTTGTGTGCTGCCCCATAGCCAAAGGCTGTCTGGGCAGCTCACAGTGCAGTATAAATCTATTTAAACTACAGATAAAAATAAATAACAAGAAACAAAACCATAAAACATAGTAAAATTAAAATGCAATTTAAATATGACCATATAAATAGGGAACAGTAGGAAAATAGATACTATATGACCAATATCAATAACCAACAAGACAATAAAACAATAAACCAGCAGCAAACCAATAGCCCAATCTAAAAACAGATACTAAATTAAAACAGTCTTGACATGGCATTGCAAGCAAGATAAAGTGGGTGCCAGTCTCATTTCCCTTGGAAGAGAATTCCAAAGGTGAGGTGTGATGACCGAGAAGGCCCTTTTCCTCACGAGTTCCCCCCTCACCTTATGGGGGGGAGAGTTCACGGAGGAGGACCTCCACTGATGACCCGAGTGGTCTGGCAGGGATATATCAGGAGTTCCTTTACATATCCCGGTTATGAGCAGCAACCAGTTGGTACCCTGGCACTGTAGTGTAGCTTTGCATTATACCCTCTGAAAAATGCACTTTGGTTTGAGCATCTGTGCATCATGTACTTTCTCTTTTCTAGGGTGAAAGCTTATAGGAAAAATGTCCTAGCAAAATGTGTAAGTATATGGTTTCTTCTTTTTGGCAACATCTGAATGATCATCACCTTATCTTATATCCAGTTGTGCTTAAGATTGCAGTTATTTGTTCCTGCTGTACTTATTTTTCTGTTATTTCAGGATAAGCAAGTTGTATATTTTTCAATGTTTTTCAGTTCCTCTTAACACATGTGAGCTCAGGAAAACTGATGCGCTCATTGGACGTTATAGATCCACAGAATGTCATAGAAAGAATTCTGATTATTATTTATTAAGTCACTTCACCACTATTTATTTCTTAATATGCTTATCTCAGTCAAAGCTGCATGAAGACTGTCCCAAAATGCTAGTAGTTGGATGGTATATAAAAGCTATGAATGAACGAACGAACGAAGTTCATTGAGCAGTTTTGCATTTATTAAGAATGGCTGATAGCATAATTGCCACAAGTCTGCTTAGATCTTTTTATTGTCCTGGTGACTTGCAAAATACAGTAGTAGGAAAAACTGTTGTTGGAGCTCCAATACTCCCTTCTAGATGCCATTGTAGATTAATTCCTTAAATTGTGAATACAATAACATTTCTTTTAAAAAAACAGTATGGTGGAGATATTACACGGAAAATGAAACTTTTGAAGAGGCAATCAGAAGGAAAGAAGAAATTGAGGAAAATTGGGAATGTGGAAATTCCAAAGGACGCATTCATCAGTGTTCTAAAGAGACAGCCTGACAAGTAGTTGGAAATCTGCAAATAGTTTCCAACCTTTTTTAAAGGAATGCTAAAAATACTAATCTTGTTTACAAAGTAGCTATCCTATTATGATTATGCATTGTATGTGTATATACAGCTCAGTCTATAAATTATCATGAATGTAAATGTCCACTTTGACACATGCTCTAATTTAAGAAAACTTTTTATACATTCTTGTGAATGGCTAGAAAATCTGAAACCCTCCCATAAAGCCTTCTGGCTGATGGCTCAGATATTCTGTACTTATCCTGAGAGTGCTGCACTGGCATAACATCCCAGACATCCTTCCGTTACATGAACATCTCTGCTGATACATCCCGATGCAGTTCTTCAGAGCAGCTTGTTATGCGCAGCACTTTCAAATAGATTCTGATTTCCTTCCTCTTTTGGTCTAAAATATGGCTTGATGATGATTTTGGGACATGCTTGGTTGAAGGGGTTTTTTTTAATGTGACCGTGGTTTATTTGTTTTAATACTCTTAGCTATCCTAGAGTGGACTAGAAATCCAGGTATCTGCCTTATGGCATGGTGTGTCTTCCCAACAATTAAGGTATACAGGTACTCCCCCAGTAACAGACGAGTTCCATTCCTGAGTACATCCTTCAGTCAAATTTGTATGCAAGTCAGATCACGTATATAAAAAGCATGTAAGACACTTAAGAAATATGTCCATATACACTAAAACAAACACAATACAGCATTTTAATAATACAGGTACCAATGAGAAAGAGAAGCTCTGTATGTATGTGTGTAGGTATACAGTACAGTTCTTAAAACAGTTTAGATAGAAAGATAGAAAAATATAGTAAAAAGATTATTATAGGCTAACACTTCTTGAGCTACATTAAGCCTAACATTAACGGGATGATGATGGAGATGGAACTGGTGTTGAAGGATGGAACTGGTGCTGGAAAGTCAGGGTTTGATTGTGTTGCTTGAGTGGTGGGGGTGTGGGGGGGGGGTTACTATTGAAGTCACTTTCTAGTTCTGACTTTGCAGCTCATTGCTGCCCCTTTTTCTCAACTCTCCTTCCCTCCCTTCCTTCTTCCCATCCTTCCTCCCTATCCTCACCGCTCAACACGAGTTCTGACTTTTGCAGCTTGCCCAGCACTCAAGGATAATGCAGGACTTCTGGGTTCGCCTGTTTGTAAGTAAAGGTTGTTCATAACCTGGATGTTCATAACTCGGAGGCTACCTGTACATAAAAAAAGAAAAGTAGAGAACCTCTTCCATGTACAGAAGGGCTGCTTTAGATCCAGTTTTTGAAATGTATTCTAGTAGACTGCAGGTTGTCTTCCTACTTCAAACAAATTATACCATTATATTTAGACAGATTCCTAGTTCTGTGAAATCGCCTTTTTCCTTGCTGCTTTGTTGGTGGTGGTGGTAAAGCCAGTCCATGCCCAAGTTCATTTCTCTGGGCTTGATATAAATGAGTAACACAGTTCACCTCTAATATCCTTAACTATTTTGAGAAATCGAAGGGGTGCTGTTAATTTCCTTTTCTGTAAGCTCCTTAAATTTCTCCCTGACAATTTAAATTCATAATCAGACACTGCTGTGTGGCATGTATGTATACATTAGTTGTGTCTGAATGACAAATGTCCACTAGATGCAATTTCCTGCCCTCTCATGGTACAACCTAGAGCACAGAGGCCTAACATGTTGGGGCGGGATGGGAGGAGCTTTTCCAAACAGGAAAATGACATTCTCTTGAGTATGATTGAACTCATTCCTTTGCCTTTTTGATTTTTTGACACCATCTGTTTGAGTTTAGACAATGCCACCAGGAAGTCAAGGCTGTGTAGAGTGTATCACATACAGGGCAGCCTGCTTCTTTGCATCTCAGATTAATGTTTCTTACAACAAATGTTATTTGTACTAGAGGAGAGATTTGCAGCCACAGCTTCTTACAATATGTTGTGTGCTCCATTTATATCTCACTGTCAGCCATACTAAGCAATAGATCAAAACCAGTGAGTAAGTTCCTAAGCTGTTCTTTTATCTGGGCAAGGGGATTGTTAATCTGTCAATTCCACATCATGTTTCACAGGGCCCCAAAGGCTTGAAAGCCTCATTCTCTGTACATAACTCTGTTCCTTTTCTGGAAAGGAATTTGGATTCCAAGCCAAAGAACATACAGCAGCTATAAAGTCAAGTTGTATTACAGGATAGCACATTCAAAGAAAAAGCTTAGCTGACATCTACAGATGAAGATAGGGCCAAGGCTAACTGGATGCCCTGCGGCAATTTATTCCATAACCTCCTTAACACTACTGAGAGGACCTTGGCCGATGTGCCAACCAGCAGCACCTCAAGATGATGATGAGATATACAGTTGGATGGGATACACAGTTTGGAAGGTGCATGGAGTCATTCTGGTACAATGCTTCTGACTGACTCCAGCAAAAATGACAAGATCTTTACGCCAAAGACAGGAAATAAGCTAGCATCAACATTGTTGAAAACATGATCTACAGCCAGAGATGCAACATTCTGGCTTGACAGAAGCCTACTTTCTGCAATCTTGTGCCCTCTGAAGCAATTGTCATTAGTCATGCTTGTTCAACAGAATAGATTTGCAGTCAAAAACATCTGGGTGGAAAATGGTGATGGCCTCAGCATATTTGTATGGGTTCTCCTAGCTTCTCTGCTTGAGAAACAAGAGTAGAAACTTGGAAACAAATGCTGGTTTTATCTCTTTAGAAAGAACATATCAAGAATTACTTTTCATTAGCATGTTTGCAGCATCAGGGTTATGACCATTTGAACACACAAGAAAGCTTTGGTATATTAACAGGCCTTTCACCTTCCACAATGATGGGGTTCACACAACACAAGAAGCCACGTTGGGTTATCATCTGTCATGTTGCCCAAAACCTGTCATGGTATTATAGCAAGGCAAGTTTGGTCCTCAGAAAGCATGCTAAGAGAACAGTTTGTATTATGCTTTCTGCCTACCATGATTGCTGAACCCAGACAAGACAATCCATTTATGGTGGGGAGCTCAGCACAAGAGCCATTGTTGGCCATTTTGTCAAAGGTGTCTCAACATTTCCTGCTAGACCAATCAACTAAGACGCCTCTGACAGAGGAATACACAGGAATCCTTTAACTAGATACGTCTTGGACTAGATCCAAGTCCTAGAAGAAAGGCAAGACTTGGACTCAACAATTAAGCTATGGTTCTTCTTCAGTAGAGAAGTGGTACGTATGCATGTTTATTTCTCACCTGTGGTAAACATTTTAAAAATCCTGCAGTGGGCATACAAGTGGCCAGAAAAGGAACAGATGTACATAGCCATTCATGTAAAGAGGTTGTATGTTGTGTGACCATTTTGACTTCTTGCCTTCTAGAAACTGGCACGGTGCACCAGCCGTAGCCATCCCAGTGTAAACAACCTGTCTTTGTAAATCTAGTTAACCACTGAAAAATGAATGATAGACAATGTAGCTAGGTTATGTTAAGCTTTACTTGTACGGCATTTTTACTCGAGACTTAATACAATGGGGATTTAATTGTTGTATTGGCATTCAAAATGTGTAGAATCTACCCTCCCCCCCCCACACACATCCCTTTGCAGGATTAACGATAGCAACTCCTTCAAAACATAAGCTCAAATCATGTAACGAAAGTAAAAGCGAGTGCTGTAGTGGAAAGTTAAACATACAGCACAGAGCTGTCAAAATCTTGAAAATGCAACTGACTCACCACAAAGCTGCATTTACTGCAATTGACTGACACAGCTACCTTCCCAGAAGCGATCAAGATGCTACTGAAACCGTCACCTGTAAGACAGGTACTATCTTCAACCTTACTGGCATTGATTCTGTATCCGGTAGATAACCAGGCATAAATTTTAAGGCAACTAACTGTCGAGGTTTAAGTGTGACACAGTTGTACATGTGTAAACATTTGATAGTAAAGTGCCCACTTATCAGTTCATAACATTACACAAGTCTATAGACAAAAAATCCTTGAGACAAAAAAAGAGAGATGTTTTTATATTTGAGTTACAGAACACTTTTTTTCTCCCTGTGGACAGCTTGTCTTTAGCTACTCCCTCAAGTCAGAACTGATCCACTGGTTTTCAAGGGCATCCACTGTGTAACAGGCAGAAAAGCAGAGAATAAAGCTTGTAACAGCACTAAGAGGAATGTGTATACATTTGGACCATTAGGAAAAATAAGACAACCCCCACAGTCCTTAAGAGTCTCCCTCAGAGCCAGCTCTCAGCATATTGTGCAGCAGTGGATTCAGCTGCTACCTAAAAATACTGCCAGGGTCATCCAAGTGAAGTCATTGCTGGTGTTCTTCAGTTTTGCTCTTTCATACTGTGCAACGGGTCCACCAGTTTATTGTGCACATGCATTAAACCTGGTGGGAGAGAAAGGCAGTATTAGTAATACCTGATAGGGATGAACTGTCACTCCAGGCCTTGATTCTATTTTTCACTGCACTGGCTTAGATGCCAAGGATCCCAACACAGGGAAAAGATCCTAACACTGTTCTCTCTTGCTGAGGATCAGGCAACCCTTTCACTTTACTGCTTTAGCCATGTTTTAGGTAAGATACAAAAAAAAAAAAAAAAAAGGAATTTGAAGGACAAACCCTCTAGGAAAACCCAATGTTCTACAGTTTTGTGCTAACCTTTTGGTCTTTTACCTACTAGATGTATGACTTCAAGGAATAAATTGCCTTAAGGCAAAGTTGTTTCTCTAAAAAAATGTGATCCTCAAATGACTTGAAGAGTGGAGAAAACAGTGGCACATAGGTCCTACATGTGCAGTAGACTGAAAGGGCAGAACTCTTCAGTTACCCAAATAGCCTGGGAGAGAGAAACTTGTTTACCTTTCTTCACCACTGCATTTTTAGGTAGCAATCTGGAGTAACATTTTTAATGACTTTTTCAGGTGGGGCACAAGATGGTTTGGAATAGGGAGATGGTGCTCGTCACAGTGGCTCCTGTATTTTCTGTCTCATGGCTTGAGAAATTGGTGTTTTGGCAGCTTTTGTTTTATTCTTAATAGCCAAATCTTTATTATAGAGGCATTCTGAGAAGATGGAAACCTAAACTCTCACTGTACATTTCTCCGTCCATCCGTCTGTCCACCCACCCACACGATTTACTAACTGGAATTTCAACTTGAGGTCTTGCATCAATTTTTACCACAAGGTGTTCCAGATCATACCACACAAACAAACTTCTGCATGCTCTCAACAGTGTTTCAAAGATGTCAGATTACATAATGAGCAGGACAATGAGTGGTCAGTTAGCAAGTTTTATTTATTAGGTTTAAATAGCTCAAAGTGGCTTACATCATTCTGCCCTTCCTGCTCTCAATCATATTCTCACACAACAACTTAGAGGTAAGTTGGGCTGAGAGTCTGTGACTGGCCCAAAGTCACCCTGTCAGCTCCATGGCTGAGTGGGACTAGAACACACATCACTTGAGTACCAGACCCATGCTCTTAACCACTACACCACACTGGCTTTGGGAAATGTACAGATTTGTGTGTAAACTAGAGGTTAGGCCAAGGATGGGAACAACTGGCTTATGGGTTGGATGTGGCTGGACAGGGAGAGGTCTTCCTGACAGGCAAATGTGTTCTGGCCATGTCCTTGCCCGTGGGAATCCTTTTTTCTAGGCCTAATCACAGTGTGCACAGAGTGGGGTGAAGGGCACATGCCTGTTTTGAGCCAGGCATAGCATGGAGGTAATGGGGGGGGGGGGGGGTTGCCTCCATGCTTAATCTTGGAGGGACAGCTTAATCTTGCTAAATGCTGCAAATCATTGTCCAGTGTGGCAACTGGGCTTGGAAGAAACCCCTTGCTAGAAACAACAGAAGGGCTTTCCAAGCCCTACTGCTGTATATTGAGTGAGAGAGAAACAGAGTGAAAAAGAGAAGAGTCTTGAGATGTATATCATGTTGGCCTCCCTCAATTTTGGCTCTGGTCCTGCCCCTGGAAGGCTGCCCAGAAAAACAAGCGTCACTCGGGGGAAAAAAGTCTTCCTGTTCCCTAGCTTAGATTATTGAAGGGTGGTGCTTACCTTTAAAATACTTCACCGTTTTAACTCTTAGTTCTAAAGTAGCATCTTCATCGCATACAAAGATAGTGTGAGGATGTTGCTGGAAAGCAGATACCGTCCACATATGATTGACCCCATCTTCAATTGCTTTGTACAAGGCAAAAGCTTTGTGTGCACCAGTGATTAGAATCATCACCTGGAAGACAGGCAAAATGTGAGCATATCATGGTCGTGGAAGCACCTCCCTTCGCTAGAGCAGATCTGTTGCCAGTTGCTGCAACAGACACTCTTCTGAAAAGAAATCCTCTTTAAGGCTCCTTGCTATAGGCAATTCAGGAAATATGAATTTTCAACAAAATAAGGATGGAATCATCTCTTTGGTATGCTGGAAATATTCCAGCTAGATTGCCCCAACTGTGGACAAGACTCATTCTTTAAAGACACCCTGGTTCAAGCCAGAGCTGGAGTGGGCGCAAAGTATCCCAAGACATTTCTTTATGCCCTGCTCATGATGGAATCCAGGAGAATAGGCTGAAACATTTTTGTTGAAATAGGTATACAGATGGACTCTCCCACCATTTGCCTCCTGGGAGTTTAATACCTCTAAGCACAAGGGGCCAGCATCACTTTAATCCTACTGCCAACATTCAAAATGTGAGATGCAAGATATAAGGCGTTGAAGACAGGAGACCACAGAGTCCTGGAGCACGACTGACACTTTCTCCACTAGCAACGTTTTCTTCACATACTGTTGATCTTCCCATAGGGCAGGGGTATGCGACTTTGAACCTATAGGTTATAATATCTAGAGGGCCCATCAGCCCTGTATGGTGAAGCATGATATGGTGAGGCATGATAGGAGCTGACAGCCAAAAATTTGGAGGAGCACAAGATGTCTGTCCTTGATAAAAGGGAAAGCATTTGTGCTGTCAAAAAGGGTAACCTCATTTTACTTAAACCTTTGAGATTACATCTGTTACAGTTTCAAGATGGGGTATTTTCCTAAGCCAGACCCTTCCCTTCTTGCCCTTAGGCTCTAAAACACCAGACTTTATTGGCCCTTCACAGTTAATAAGACAATGCAATTCTACAACCCCTCTGGCAAGGTATTCACCTTGTGTGTACCAGGTAAGCCTCTGCTCATGTAAAGGAGGTTGATCCAAAACTGGAAACTTCTATCCAATCCATCCAACACTGTGGGGTCCAAGTCCTCTAACTGGATGGCTCATTTCTCCCAACACCTCGTCGCGGGATCAGGGACTTGGCACAGGAACGGCTTTCCCCTCTCCTGGGTTCCCTCCCATCTCTTCCAAAACGTGTCTGCTCTCACAGTCAGCCTGGAAAACTGCAGGCAACACCCCTGATGGAGCTTCATGGATTCTGGCCACTTTGCCTTGCCTGCCCTCCCACTGCCATCACCTCCGACTCTTCTTCGGAATCTGAAGCAGGACCTTGGAAAGTCAGCAAAGGGTGAGTGCCTGACCCACTTGCTACACTTATACGGTGCCCATTATTTGATTCTGTTCAGTCGAAAGGGCAATTTATTAGCAGGCCAAGCGGAGTTAGGAATATTATGAAGATTAAAACAATGGACAAATGTCAGCACTTTTTCTGTGTATCTTTCTGTCCAAGCCACCTGGTCTAGCCCTACCTAAATCTATTTCTCCAAGAAACCCCAACCTCTGTCAGCCGTAAAAAGCGAATGTTAGCAAAAGGTGCAGGGGAATGCACTTTTCCACCTTTTCAAGCACCTAGTCTTATGAATGGCTGGAAAAACTGGTTTCACCAGGATCTATGGAAAGGTGACCCAAAATCCAGAGGATTTCTTTGCAAATGGGAGTAAAATGTTGCCTAGCTCTTCTAAGAACAAAGATGAATGGCAAGTTTGCCTACTTGTCAGTTCATCTTTGCACAGCTGGCATGTCAAACTAAAGCAGGGAAAATGCCTTATTTGGGGCCTCTATGAGTCAATGTCTAGGGTTGGTACTTGCTGCACTTTGACAGCAAGTACACTGCAGGACAATGCCCAGGTGAAGCTTTCCATTTTCAAAATTGCAAAGTTGTGCAATCTACAATTGCATAAGTCCATCTAAAAATCATAAACAAATAAATGTACAAAATATTTGCATGTATTTGGGGTACAATAATAAATGTGGCCAAGCAATGACAACCCCTCTGGCTCCATGGCTTGGGCACTTTGGAAGGGTTGTTAATTCAGAGATTGCTCTTCTTGATCTCTGGGGAAAAAAGGCAAAGGGCAATAAAGCTGCACTGAATGAAAAGGGACTCACAATCATAGGGGAAGGGCACCAAGCAAAAGACAGTTACTTCAAAGTGCCACATGGGCAGTTTTATTTATTTATTTGGGATATTTCTAACCCATCCAATCATTATACGACTCTGAACGGCTTACAACAGTAATTCAATAAATTCAACAATATAAAATGTCATCCTACTATCCCATACAATAACAACACTAATAACACTAATGTGTTGTTTGCATTAATAGCAAACAACTCATTAACTAGGCAGAGTTTGGCCAGGATATTTTGGCACCTAAGACAAAATTCTAATGATAGCAAAATAGTTTCACTATATAGCATCAACAAGAAAATCTCAATTAACTGCTCTTTCCTTGCACGTCCACATTGACCATGTAAAAGAAGTCTGCCCAACTGTAGGGCTGGCCTTCCAAGATGAGGTAGCCTTTCAAGAATGCCTTCATTTACGAAGTAGTCATATGGCAGGTTCCTTGTCCTTCTGATTAGAAAGAGCTCTAATTATAGGGCAGCTGTTGCTGAAGGTGGCCCAGGCATGCTTAGCCAGAACAGTTAAGGGGGTTCTCCTGTTTCCATCAAGAGGCTTGCTCACCAGTTCCCAGCACCCACACTGGGGATACGGACCCAAGTTTGGAAGACATGACATCAAACCCCAGAACAAATATGGGCTGGTAAGATGGTTTTCTGCCCTCAAACAAGCTACCCTGTAGGAAAGAGTCTGGGTTCATATGAACCAACTCACTGAGGCATGCCACCTACAAAGGGTTCTTGTGTTGTATAAACCCAGTCAATGGTGATAAATGAACTGGGGAAAATTTACAAAGACCAAACTGTATGCTAACAGTGAACACTGAAGCCAACTGATTGATTCTGAAATGCTTTGTTTTTCATTCTATATCACAGCAGACTTATTTTAAATGCAGATTTTCTTTCAAGGAATGCAAAAAATATCCAGGAGATAAGACAAACATTCTTACTTCTCTGGCATCCATCACTGTCCCCACACCAACTGTTAATGCCATAGTTGGAACTTTTGATAAGTCTCCATTGAAGTACTTTGCATTTGCTAGTATAGTGTCCATTGCCAATGTCTTCAGTCTTGTTCTTGATACCAGACTTGACCCTGGTTCGTTGAAAGCTATGTGCCCATCTGGACCGATACCTTGAAAGAGTGCACACAATTAAGCCAATGTATGAGGGAGTCTCAAAGAATTTTCTAAATATTTTGTGATGAATACCATTAATTCTAAGGTATAATTGAAGAACTAAACAATGATAATATTAGCAAGTCACATGTTCTAAAAGACCTCACATTAGAGTAATACTGCTGAACATATTTCCAAGTGCGTTTGTGAGTTTTGCCCAAACCATCCTTCTACAAGCCAAATTGTTTGAATTATCTGAAATTACCTTCTGCTGTATAGACGCCCCTGCTTTTCACTTTCTGATGAGGGTTGCTAGCACATTCTGTTTCAACTGACAATTCAAAGCATATTTGTTTGCCCAAACATTCCCCTGATGCTAGCACTGCTAACTTCTGATTATTCTAAAATGGTTTGTTTTGTTGTGTTACTGTTTTATTGCTTTAAAGATTGTTTTATTGCATTTTATTATGATTTTATCTGGTAAACCACTTTGGGTTTCTTTTAACAAAATGCAAAGCCACACAGACATTGTCTAATAAAATAAATGTATAATTGCAAGAAATGCATTTGAAAATTTTCCTGTTCTGTCCAAAAATGAGTGGAAAAATCAGACTAGAATAAAGATTAAACACAGAGGAGGGTGAAGAAATGTGTACCATGCTTTACTGCTATATTGTTATATTAAATTATAAAGGGAGAGAGAGAAAAATGGAATCTAATGTAAGCACTGCATATACATACAAAAGCCTTCCCTATCCTGGTACTCTCCAGTTATTTTGGACTTCAATTCCCACTAGCCCCAGCCAATACATACAATTCTCAGGAAAGCTGGGAAGTGTGGTTCAAAACATCTGGAGGACACCTGGCTGGCATACAAGCTTAAGGATTGGCAGGAGATGAAGGGAGCCAAGGTTGCTATGTTTGAAGGGAGCCAAGGTTGCTTCCTTTGCTCCCACTACGTATTTATGTACTCAGGAGCACAATGCTCATTCACTGCAAGTTCTTTGTTTTGCACCCAATAACTTAAAAAATCACCTCCAACAAATAGATCGATTCCACCAGCTTCTTCTATCTTTTGTTCAAATGCATCACACTCTGCCTTTAGGTCTGGAGCATTTCCATCAAGAATATGAGCGTTGTTTGGATCTATATCAATGTGTTTAAAAAAATTGTTCCACATGTAAGAATGATAGCTCTCTGGATGACTTCTGGGAAGCCCTGGGACAAAACAATGAATACAAAGGTTGATTTAAAATAGTTATTCAGTTTCTGGACTGCAAACAACACTTACATTACATGTCAGACATTACAGAATTCAGTCCTTTCCTCCATTGCGTAAATCCATTTGTGAATTCCAGCCTTATCAGAAATGCAAACATGTTTTCAAATAAGCCTTACCTACATATTCGTCCATATTGAATGTCTTCACGTATTTGAAAGAGAGATCTCCTTTTTTGTGATATTCTATCAATTTCTGGTAGCATCCCAGAGGTGTACTTCCTGCATTAAGCAAGACAGCAAAAAGGTCCTCACTTACTTTCATCCCATTCACACTGATCTCTGAACTTGATCTGTTTTATTTAGCCTTTTTCAGGAAGAGGAAAAATTCAATTTAGTGGTAAAAACGGCATTCCTCCAAGCCCTGTCCACATGTACAGAATGCGCCTGGGTGCTGACCTGCAGAGAGGGAATCTTTCTCTAGAAACAAACAAAAGCCCCTTGAATGCATTCCTAGTGTTCCTACTGGCTTCCCATGTCAAGGGATCTGTTGCTACTGCACATGGACTAAAACTCTGAGCAACCCTTTGAGGCAGCTGCTGGCATTTTTTCCCCCTCCCTGCAAGTGATTCTGCAGACCAGTTTAGGCAGGCTGGTTCTATACAATAGGAATCTGACAAAGAAGCCACCATACGGGCTAGTCCTTGCTTGGAAGTAAGCACCACCAAACTCAATTCCAAGTAAACTTAGATGGTCCCTTGCTGAAACGTTCTTCTGAGTAAGAGGAGCATTGCTCTGGGAGTGGGCAAAGTACAGCAAGCGGTGGCAGTGTGTCTAACTGTGTTACCTTTTCTTTCTCCCATTGTATTAATCATGGATTTCTGTACTGTGTAAGTTGCTTAGCAACTGCTTTGTACAGTTGGAACCAATGCATATATGTAAAACAAAAATGATAATGCAGCCTGGCCCATGGTGGAGGTCTCCAGATGTTCTAGTTTGAAGACTAGACTGTTAGAATACTTAGTCTGATCCTGTTCTACCCTTGTAATTCTAATCCATACAAAAGTGCATGTAAACTTTTGGAACCTGGCAGGAAAAAAAGTGACTGGACAAGGGAAGCACCCTCAGCAGAACTGGCCATTTGAGTTTTGCTGTATTGTGTGTTTGTAGGTGGCATTTCATTTCATGTCCAAGCTATTTTTGGGTGAATGAGTCAATCACAGAGAGAGAACAGAAACCAGACTGAGGAGTGTAGTTGGATAAAAGAAACATTCCACTTTTATACACTGGAAGCTAAAGAAGCAACAGAGGCTTCTTGGTCAATAGTGCAGGCAAACACTTGGTGGTGATTATTTCCTTTCTTCTCCAACATTACACTAGCTTCTGCCCAGGGCAGAAAAGCAGTCCAGAATTATCAAATGCATGAAGGCACCTTACAGGAGTATGAAGCCACCAGTCCCCTTTCCTCTCCTTCCCAAAGGTTGCAAAAGAAGAGAAAATGCATTACCTGTTGGTAAGCCAAGAGTAAAATACCTGTTTTCATTTGGCTTGAACTGGATGATGCGGTTGCAGATGTATTTGGCAGCCCATTCACTAGCCAGATCATAATTGTCCAGTATGACTAGCCTCATTCTTGTGAGAAACTGCTCTTGAAGAAAACCAAGGCTAGAACTGAGAGAGAACAAGTTACACAATTATTTAAAGAGGGACAGAAATAGTAGGTTTTGAAGATGGTGCAATTTGGGAACTACTGAACAAGTCTACTAGTTACGTCTATTCCCCAACCCTCCTGGTATATTAGATTACAACTTCCAGGATTCCTGACAACTGGCCTAGCTGACTGGAGTTGATGGGAGCTGAAGTCCAAAATGTCAGAAGGGCACCAGGCTGGAGAAAGCTGATCTATGCAGTGGGCAAGGGACTTGAGAACTCCACTTGCTTTTTATTCTCACACTGTATATGAAATCAGGTTTTTCAGTCACTGGTGGTCTATCGTACTTGCATGCTGACATCTAGCTTGATAAGCCTCAAGTTGTGTGGACCAGTTTAGGGTGCCTTTATAGGCTCTGAATTTGATCATGTGAAGAGCCACTGTCCTTTGACATCATTAAGGATAGCTAACTACTTAAGTTCATGCAAGTACTTTGCACTTCTGAAATCTTAATTTGTACTTAGGGCAGTTTAGTAGCAACCTCATAATGAAGAGAGAAGGCTTTTTTAAAAGTTGAAAATTAAAGAGACCTAAAGTTGTTAATGTTTTTCTAGCAATAGCAGAAAAGTACAGGAAAGACAGGCAGTGCAATCCCATGCTAGAGAGCATCTAGATTGACAAAGCTGGAAAATCTATGCTTGGATCCCTCTTCCCACTTGAAGGTAGCACAAAACGAACAGCAACACCTGCTGCATCTCCAAGGTTTTTAGAGCAACCCTAGAGAAGGACTTTTGGGGGATTTCTGGGAGATGCAGAGGGGGAGAAACCAACACTGTGAAGATACAATGTATCCTGGTGGCACCTCAGGCTGATTCCTTTCAGCTCCAAAGCATCACTCAGATGGTTGAAATCAACCCTATAGGTGTTTTGCAGAGGATTGCAGTGTAGATTTCTTTCACATTATTGGACTATAAACCACATGCATGACACTTGCAGAAGTTACATAACAGAATAACAGTAACAATGATTTTTATTTGTTCTCGTCATATTCCATAATAAAGACAGCCAACCACACGTTTATTTAAAGAAGAGTCCAACTGTGTTCAGTGGGACTTACTCTCTAGTAAGATCGTTTGGGATGCAGTCTTAACAAGGCTAAATAAATAGTTTTCTTGCCTGAGGTCAACATGGCCTACATGTGCAACAGGTGCAAGCTGGTAGCCCTGTCAGAAGAAAAGGTGAGAGCACTAGAGCAGTGAGTAATAAAGGAAGATGAAGCATGTTTAGACAGACTGGAACAGCTCAGGGCAGTACAGAAGCTAGAAGAGCAGCAGCAAGCTGAGGCTGAAAAGTATAATTCTGAGGAAAGTGAAAACGAGGAGGAAACTCCCTGGAAAAGGCTGCCAGGTGCAGAAAAGCTAAATGAACTAGAATATACTCTGCACCAGTGGAAGCTTCAAGAAGGCTGCGGGAAGATATGATCGCACTATCCAAGTAACTGAAAGGTTGTCACAAAGAGGAAGGAATTCTCAATCATTTTAGAGTGCAGGACATGCTATAATGGGCTCAAGTTACAGGAAGCCAGATTCCAGCTAGAAAGCAGGAAAAAAATCTTGATTATTAGAGCAGTATGACAATGGAACCAATTACTTCGAGGCTGCAGGCTCTCCCACACTAGGGAGATTCAAGATACAATGGACAGCAATCTGAGAATGATGGTTTAACTTGGGAGTCCTGCACTAGGCAGGGAGTTGGACCCAACAGCCCTCTGACCCCTTTCAACTCTGCTAGTCTATGTTTCTATGAATAAAGCAGAATCAGTCAAGACACTATTCAGTGTGACAAAATTAGTCAAAGAAGAGACTCCTACAGCACCTTAAAAACTAACCTGCTTTATTATGTGGCATAACTTTCTGTGGATTAGAACTGCACCAGAACACATGATACAACTAAAAAGCATAGTAAGGACCTTGATTTACATTAGTGCTTAAACATAATAACAACAGATTATGTTCCTCTAATTTCTGCTTTCTGCAAATGAACTCTTGTAGCTGGTCTTGCACAGACCATGTATTTAGAAGACCAAAAGGGTATTTTCCACAGCTGGTCTGACAAAGCAGACTTGCTCCTTTTTCACTCGACAAAACTGCAAAAACTACCTACACTTCAAAACATAAATATTACCTTCCTGGCTTTTAAATTGCAAACCATGCCCACATAAAGTCAATGCTAAACTAGGTACAGTTTTCAAGAAAGTCAGTTTGTAAGCATACTGTTTCCTGATCCACCATTCTGCATAATCCTATTGCAACATCTCATTTCTGAAACCCAGCACTGACTTTTGAGTAAATTCACACAGGACCTGGCTGCATCAAAGGCATAACCATTATGCTTCGATCTGAATCTTAAAAGGGGGGTAGAGAAGAGAAAAAGAGAAAACACTTCCAATGCCTCCAGCATATCTAGAGCCCTCCGGATATGCTTGACTGGGGACGACGGGAGTTGTCATGTAACAGACGGCTCCAGATTGGGAAAAGGCTGTTCTTTCAGGTTCAAGTTTTCCAGGCCAGAAGTTGGGCAGCAAGATAATTCCTAGATCCAGTCACTACCTGACAATCACTAGATCCCTCTGTTTCCCACAAATCAGTGTTTAGTTCCTATGCAGAACTGCCTTCCCCCTTCCCCCACCTACTAGTCTCGCTATTTCAGAGGCAAGCCTGGACTAAGCACTCCATTCGGTTAACTCCAGCCCGCCTTCGTCTCCTCTCCCCTCCCGCCTGGCATTCACGGAATCACTCACACTCAACCCGAGCACCAAAACCTCTCGCACAGCACAGCACAAGCTGATAAATATCGGACCCGGCAGCAAACAACAGGGAAGGCAGCCCGGGAGGGGGCGGGGCCAAGACTTCCGGGACAAACCAGCTCCCCTTCTCGCTGTCTCGGCGAGCGCTACGGATGCGGGGGGAGGGGGGAGGGCGGGGCTTTTTCCAGCCGGCGGGGAAGGGAGGGAACGCGATATGAGGAAGAACCAACTGCGCGTGCGCTCAACAGTCTATATAGTGCAGTGAACGCTCCTTTGATTATTTATTACGTTTCTCGCGGTTGGGGTTGTCGGTTGTTGTTTTTGAGTTAGACTTCTCTGACATTTTCGTTAGAAAGGAGGAGGCGAGAATTCTCTGGAAAGTGAGGAAGTAACCAGCATTTGTTTTAAGGGCTAATTAGATAGCGAGATGAGGCCTTTGAATAAGCGAGGAAGGGATATGCTGGGAAAGGGAAGGATAGACTCATATTAGCTATGCCTTTTCTAGGTATTACTCCTAGGAGTTTCTCTCTCCCTCTTCAGAGGCAGTGAAGAAGAGTATATCTTCTAAGTATTCAACTTTTCTCATTAGCAGTTAGTCTTCTGGTGCTCAAGTACAGATTGCTGGGGTTTGCTTTTCACCATGCAAAATGTGCTGAAACACCAGGCTAAAGGAAAATGTTTGGGTAGAAATAATTGTTTAAAAGTGCCATTGTAGTTCCCCTAGGAGGAAGCCACCCATCTCTGAGGCCTCCTCCCAGCAGGGAGGGAGACATGGGGTGGGGGGAACCTTTTGCTTGCCCATACTTGGAAATGCTTGGAAATGCTTTCTTCTTAGATAGACCTTAGGCACTAGTGGGGACTGGAATAGAGCTGGAGAGACCTGAAAGTTTCTCATCTGCCTTTTCTCTTTCTACCTTTAACAGTACAATCCCTTTTGCTATCCTTAGTCTGCATTTTAAGCAGTGGCTGCTGAAATGTAGTCTCTGTAGCTCTGTCTGTGTGTGTGGTGGGGAGAGCCTGAAGGCTCAACTACAAAGGCATAACTCTTGGAAGACAATCCTGGGAATCATAGGATTGCTTTCTTTGGGAATCTAGAAGAATAGTTTGACAAATGCTGTCATAAACTAGAGTGAAGCAGGACGTTGATTTAGTATGCTCATTTTAAATTATTCCTAAGTAGTAACACAAATAGTCTATAAATATGCATGAGAAAAAGTATCGGTTTTCTTCTGCTGTGCACATGTTTTGAAACATGGCTTTCAGTCCATATCAGTGGTATTCTGGGGCATTTCCTAAAGTTGTACATGAATATGAATGCTATTGACCACATAGATTTTTATCTGGCGATATAGGAAGGGTGGTTAAGATTCACAATGAAGTTCATGATACAAAGTTTTAGTGACTGCATGAAATTTCTTCTGTGAAGAACTTAGTTCCTTAAATACTCTTACCAAAGATCAGCAAATTAGGTGCAGTGGATACATTGAGGTGAGGTGGGGTAGGGTGGGCATAAATAAAAAGTAGCATCTAAGTTAATGATAAAAATAAGAAGTGACTGTTCAGATTTTAGAACAGGTAAACATTTTAAAGGAAAATGTGTTTTCATAAATCACTGTAAGATAACATTCTAAGAACTTACTGAGCATCAGATCTAGTCCTTGTTGCAGGTGTAGTAAAAGATCTTGCATGGTTCAACTATACGTAGATTATTTTTGCTTCAAATTTAGTGGCTCTTTCTGCATTGAAATTCCTATAGACAATATAGAAAATGCCTACTTTGATGAAGTGTTTATGTCCTTGAGATCTTAGTTTTATATAAAACAAGCCTTTTTATATCTGCTACAAGTGTAGGAGAACGCAACCATTTGCATTCATTCAGGGGAGTCAGTGCAAACTTCTAATGGCATCCCATCACATCACATAAAATCTGGTAGGACACTTGTCCATCTAGCCCAATATTGTCACTGACTGGCTGCAGCTACTGAGCACTTCAGACAAGAGATTTTACAAGTCTTTTCTGGAAGGGCTGGGACAGAAATGAGACTTTCTACATGCAAAACATTGAGCTGTGGTAAAAGGGTGGTATTTTCCTTTTCATTCTAGATCTTTCTGCTTTTTTGAAATTACATTTGGGTTTTACCATGTTGAAATAACGAAGGAGAAGAAAGTGGAGTCTAAAATCATTACCCATAGTTACAGGATTTTCTTTTAGTACCTGCCTGTGGCTATTCAGACATCAAACATATAAACTGGAGTAGCATTCAGATTCCCTTCCCACCCTGCTCTCAGCATAGCCAACCATCTCTTCCAAACATCAGTTCATTGGGGAGAATCCAAAACCCATTCTGTGGACCTCTTTCTTGAGCTGACACTCCTGCAACTCTGGATTGCCATGCTGAGCCTCTTGAAACTGCTTGACAGCTTGTTGCTATAGGAGCTGCATCGATCCCTCTACCTTCGCTGCCTTCATGGAAATATGAGCAGAGGGCAATTCAAGGCTACTGATTTCTTTAGCTCCTAGGGGAAGGTGGTCCTCCTCAACAGGTGCAGAACTTTTCACCGTCTTCCCTGTGTTGACCTTTCCTCTGGGAAACCCTCCTCTGAATTGGATTTTGTCCCATTTCAACTTGGCAAGGCAAGGGGAGAATGGCTGTCAGAGCAGCCTTTCGGCATTGGGCACTTATTCCCAATGATGATTTCAAAGGATGGGGTGGACAACACCAGTTTTCCTCCTTAGCTCTGGTGTTTTCCCCAAATGTGCATCAACTGTATTTTAAGGAGTGGGGACCCATACAGTTGGACCTGCATGGTTTTGCCCTTCAACCACTGCTCCTTCTGCACTGAAGGTGCAATAATAGAATTGGTATCAGCACCCAAATCTCTGTATCCCTTACATCAGCGCCTATTGATCATAGTGAACTCACAGAACTGCATCTGACTCCATTTAATTGCTCTTGTGGCGTCAATCTTCCTTTTTTTTTTTGCAGATGGTTCTCTCTCCACTCTCCTCATCTCAGCTCAACTGGCCCTGCAGTGGGGACTAACCCCTCCACTTCTCTCTCTCTTCTTTGGGCAGCCTGCTGTGGCTCCAGCTCCCCGCCTCCCCAGGACCTCCAGTGCAGGGACAGCTGGCATGCAGGTGTTGGGTTTTCTGCCCACTCCGATGCGCTGGACTTGGGCGAACTCTCCATCTCACTCCAATATGTAGTAACCACCACTTGGTAGGAGTTGGAGTGACCAACCTGCCCTAACTTTGCCCCCCCCCACCCACTCCCCAGTTGTCGTTTTCAATTTGGGGCAGTCATGTTTCAGATACCCTAACTCTTTATAACAGAAACACTTGCTGGCAGGGCCAGACATTTCCCTGTGCCCCTAGTGCGACTCTTTTTTCTTCAGCTCCCACAGGCACATGCCACCTCCTCTCCTTTTGATGCCCCTCGTGATGTTGTCTAAGTGATTGGTCAGTAGCCTAGCCTCATGAATCGTTGTGGGCTGATGATCTGTAACCAGGGTTGCCAGTGCTCCAGGGAGAGTTGCAATGAACGGCTACACCGAATCAGTTGGGTAAATTGCTTCAGGGTGGTGACTTCAGAGACCTCCACCCAAATCTTTCTGTGTCTCCAACCAGATGCCCCACACTGGCAATTCCTCTGTTGCTCGATATGTTGCCTGGTACAGCATGACCAAAAGTGTTTTTGGGGCAGCTGGAGCCTGGCGTGCACTAACTCTTTAAAATGGTCCTTATCATAAAAATCTTCTGGTGGTAGTGATCCCAACAAATCGTTGTGGTCTGAGCATGTTGCATAATCATGTAACGTCACCCTTGCACACCACGTATCATTCCTAATTGCATTTGCCAATATTTCCATCATTAAAGCAAATAATATTGGGGATATAGGACTACCCTGTCTCGTCCCTCGGCTTAGTACTATTGTTTCTGTAATACCATCATTTACAATTATTTTTGCTGTATTTTCTGATTATGATTGATTTTTTACTTTCTTAAAACTTTACTCCAAATCCTATATTCTCTATTTTAATGGTCATTGTTGACCATTGCACACAGTCAAAGGCTTTAAATATATCTAATGCTAGTATGCTTGCTGTTATATTTTGCTTCTCAATATAATAGGCTTTTTTATATAAAGATTTTATTAAGATTTTATACTAAAACTAAAAACATCAATCATCAAATACATCTGACGTACTGGGTCAGCCCCCTACTGCATATCTTTTTAACCTTCTATAGTCATATTCAAATCGATTTATAAAAATTTAAAAACATCTTTAAGCCAAGTTCCGTTTCTTCAGCCCATCATAAAAAAGGTCCCAAGTTTGATAGAAGTCAGTATCTTCTTTCTCCTTCAGTGATAGAGTCACTTTGTCCTTTTCTGCGCAGTCCAGAATCTTTTTTAAAATCAGTTCATTGGTGGGTAATTCCTCACTCTTCCAGTATTAAGCAAGCGCAATCCTCGCTGCTGTGGTTAGATGTAACATCAAATACATTTCTTGTTTGCTAATATCTTCCGGTATTATGCCTAACAAGAAAATTTCAGGTTTAAAAGCTAAGGGTTTTTGTAGCATTTCCTCAAGCCATTTATGTATTTTAATCCAATACATTTTTGCATTTTCACAGTTCCGCCACATATGGTAAAAAGTACCCACTTTATGTTTACATTTCCAACATCCATTTGATATATTTGGAAACATCTTAGCTAATCGACTTGGCGACAAATACTATCTATAGAACATTTTACATAAATTTTCTTTCTATGAAGTTGCTAACATTACCTTAATATTTCCCATAGCTTTGCTACTTTTCTAATTCAATATTTTATCCAAAATTTTGTGCCCATGTTATCAGTTTCCTTAACCTGTTCCCTTTCTATTTTCCTGTCAAGTAAGAAATCATATACTCTTTTAACAATTTTCTCATCTGTATTTAGCATCACTTGATCAAACACTGT